TTACTTTATCTATTCATATACATGTATCTACATTCAAATTATGAAATCTCGCGGACAGTCCAATAGCTTATTTTTTATTATTTGAATTTACTATTTAATACATAGCTCCAATCTTCGTATTTCATAGGAGAGATGAGATTTGATGATTAATTCTTTCAGCTAAATTTCATCACAATCGTTTTAACTGAGGAGAGAGCAGGCTTTACACTTAACAAGATAAAAAGAAGTCGACATGTCGTCCGGACGAATCGAATAAATTAGTATAAAATCACAATTTAAACACAACTCACGTAAACAGCTCGCACATTAGTCCTCTGTTAGCTTGAAGCGCGGCTAACGAGCCCATTACCGTTTTCCGTTTAATGTGAAAGAGAAACGTCAACATATGGTTTGATCCTGCAACATTAGATAAAACATCGAGAGAAGAATCTTGAGACACTACATGACTTCTGTTTTATAGTCAAACGAAATACCTACGCTACAATGATCCATCCATCCTCTAGTGAACTAATACGAACTAATTTTGCATTGTCTTTAATTTAAGTCAAATCACAATCGCTGTTACTTTCAAAATTAAACTTCGTATCCACGAGAAGCTAAACAACTTACAGAAATTAGTTACTTCTTCACGTATCGATAGCGATGAATAATCAAACATGACCGTGTGCCCGCATGTGCTGCACAGAGTAATTCAATTACCCAATCTCCCCGTCCCGTGGGTATCACAGGCGGCCGGGAAAACGGCAATAAAAACCTACACTACATTTTTCCTGCAGGCAAAGCATAACGCACAATATCTGGATTTTAACAAGCCTGCAGAAAGGTTGGTATTTCGGGTGTTGCTGATAATAATAACATACACAATTTCTAGAGCTGACTGTGAAAACTTCTTCAAGAGATAAGGAGAAAGGCTAGTAAATAACCGGTTCAAACTATATCAGATGGTAAGGCAAAATGTTCTCTGATTTTTTTAACTAATGATATTAAAAGCTGACCCAAATACAGCAGCGGACATTTGAGCCAGCGCCGCAAGTATTTTGCTAATAAAAATATTTATGCGATTACGGGATTTGTTCGGATAGCCATCTTCTTTACACTTAAAGTGAGCTGGATAATATACCGCGTACATAGATCCAAAAACGGCGGCATTATTTCCAAGGAGAACAGAAAGAGTACAAAATAATTATGTTGACTTCGATTCCCTAGAGCTCCCCCGCAAAGCCATAAATAATTTCCCTGCAAAACGCTGGCAATGTATTACAGTATAATTATACGCGCAGGCAATTTCGTGCTCAAACATTACTTCGATATATAAATGGATATTGTCATTATAATATATTTTTTATGATTCCCAACTCGCAAAGTGTCATTAATTAAACTAATGATTTTTATAGATCTACGCTAGTTCCATGGCGATGCGAAACCGAATGATTCATTTCTAATGAAGGAAATAGCAATTACCGTGATTGATATCTCTGTACCTTTTTAAATAGTATCGTATTTTATGTATGAGCGAAACTACTTTCAACGCGTATTCACTAATTGCTATTTCATTTATCTTCATTAATGGAATATAAAACATTCAATATATGTTACATAAGACCAGTATTGTCAACTCAGTTGAAATACCACTGACACTGGTGGTTTGAAAACACCACTTAAAGTGGTGAATTACAAAAATATTTAATGGTTAAAAGTTTTTTTTTAATTTTAAAGTTTTTTATAGTGCTAATCTCTGCACTTAAGATTGAACATTAATACATGTAGAAAATCATTGCTTCAAATGCTAAATAACAATGTAGAAGGAAGGCAATAAGATATTCGTCGCTGTGGCTATCAGCCGTTTAGCTCAGTGGCTAGAGCGTCAGGCCGCGAATGCCGAAGACGTGGGTTCGATTCCCACAGCGGCGACAATCTTTTCGTACTTTTTCTACATTTATTAATGTTAAAAGTTTTGTTAGTGGGTTAACTTTAGTTATAACAAACAAGCAAGATTTGAAAAGTCAACCGCATAGCTTAATTTCAGACTGATATTGCCGTTGATAAACACAAAAATATATATTTTATATTTTGAATAAAGTTTAATGCAAATGGCTTGATTGTGCGCACTTTGCGGAAAAGCTACTCGACATATTTCAATTCTTCTATTTCAGTTCTATTTCTTACACTTAACCCTTATCTAAAAAAAGTAATGTTATGTTATCTTCAATTAATGCAAAAGAATTAAAGTTTAAGAAACAACAGTTTTATAAGCCTACGTGTTCAATAATGTGTGTATTCATGCCGTGGAGAAATAGCGCAAGCGTTGTACTTGTTAATAATATAAGCAACGCAGACGTAGTCGCCGGTATCAACTAGTTTAAAATTAATCGTTTGAAGGGGGTTACCTTTCTAAATGACGAGGATATTGCAATATTCTAAAGTTTAAATAAGTATAAAAGTGGTTAGAGCAAAATTATTCACTAATCTATTAATATTTACGAGGATGATTTTATAATCTAACGGAATTACTATATTTATTGCTGGATCAAGGAAACAAATACAGAAATTAAGTTTGTAGAGTAGTATTATGTAAAAATTTGGTTATTATGGCAGTGAACCCGTACCCGTATGACATTTATTTTAAGTTTTCCTGTATCGAAATTCAATAAACAAAATAAAAATATTTTTTAAATAAAATTGTGCTGATGTAAATACAATTTTGCCAGAATTGTTGCTACAATATAGACGCAGGATCTGAGATTACCAGTTCATAGTCAACGGACGTAAAATAATCACATATCTGTTTCTTTTTTAATTCCGCTTAAAAATTCACATTTGCCTGATGTCATACTCGTCTTTAGTCAACTTTTAACTTTAAATAAGCTGAACTTATGCAATGTCTGTTCTGTATTGCTCGCTTAGATAAATCCACAAAATCTTCAATTAACACCGGCTTCATTTGTAACAAAGCGACGACAATAAATTCACATTTGCAAAATTATTTATATCATACGTTTACAAGCGCTGAGCAATGTACGTGCTATCTATCAATATAAATATACAGTATTTGCATAGGTTTTTACAGTAGTACACGAATGGAGCAAGTCCATCCGGGTAAGTACCACGACCTCTCAGAAGACAAGCGCGATGTAGAAGTGTTACACTTATGTGTTTCGACTTGTGAGTGTGGTGACACTCTGGAAGTACCGAGGTTTAGATTGGTTAAAACCAGAAAGTCGTTTCTTGGTAGATACATCAACTATTATAGTAAAATAGGTGACATCCACAAACAACTAAGTATAAACAATTTCAAACAAATTGTACACGCTACCTTAATGACAAGGGCCTACTATAATGTCCAAGAATACATTGAGGACAAAGATGTGTGGAAATGACTCTTGCTCTGCACTTGGAAGACCCCTGGCTGCTCCTGATTTTATACCTAAATAAGTTTGTATAATTACATCAAAAAAATAACAAAAAAAACAAGACCGCAGAGTTTCTTGCCGGTTCTTCTCTGTGCAGGTCTAGTTTAGTGAACCGGTGGTAGATTTTTTGTCGACGTTCAATAAGAGCTTAAGTTAAGCCTATATTGAATAAAAGTACTTTGACTTTGAGTGTGAGTAAGGTAGCCGGGGCGCACTTTATTAAAAGGTGGCAATGCAGCTGAACCGTATGAATGTTGCAAATGTCAAGGGGCGGCGGTTATCATTTAACATCAGGTCAACCGTCAGCTCATTTGTCGCTTTCTCACATAAAAAATATGAATATGTCAGCTGGTTTTGAGATGATTTGGAGCTCAAACAACATAAGCTTTTGGGCTTTTCTACACAGCGTTTTAAGTCACTTAGTCAAAATTAATATTTGATTTTCCAATATCAAGTAATTTCAAACTATATATTTTATTTAAGCTTTTGCACAGTATTTGTGTATTTTCGTATGTAAATTTGGAGTTTTATTTAGTATAACTTAAGTTTTATTCCAAGTTGCAGGTCCCGCGAGAATATATAAGAATAAGATAATCTTTTATACAAAAACGTAACAAGACATGACGAAACTTATTTTATTAATTTTTTTAAAGATTGTAATATTTTTTCATACACGAAACATTCCCTTGATCAATATAAGTTAATGCGAATAGAGCCGGATATTGGAGGACAGCTGCAAATATTTACTGAACGCACTCTCATATCTTTTATCTAACTAACGTGTCTGTAATCACAACAATACAAGGCTCTAGAAGGATGATACAAATATCACTGATTAAATAAAAAAATGTACTAAAAATACAAAATATATATATATATATATATATACTGTATACTATACGATAGGAGATACGAGCAGCTCTGTCATTCGGGTTCCGGCACCAACGTAATTGTTAATTGCAATTTTAAGTGATCTGCTCAGCCGCAAAGCCGTATAAGTATATATATATATATATATACTTATACGGCAAAGCCCGCTGAGTACAGATTGCATATTTTCAAACCTGCATATTTTCGTAATAAAAACAAAATAATTTGTTTCAAAGACATGTGAATTATGTGGTGTCGCGTAGTGGACTATACCCTAATAACCTGCTTACAGAGTCGAATAGTAGGATAATGTACCTTTTTAATAACATTTCATATCATTTTTATAGTTCAACTAATTAGAAAATAAAAATATAATACACAGGCTACAATAACAAATTGATGTGGTTTATCTTTTAAGATATAAGTGACAAGGCTAGTCAAAATGTATAAAGTCATTTTATACAATATATTTTATTCCACATTATTGTGTAATATTACATAAAGTTTTTCTCGCGGCTTCGCCCCCGTGGTTCTAAAATTATTAACATATTATACATTTGGACCGCAATCTACAGTTCTATCATTGTGTAACGTACTGTTTCAATCCTCAAAAAAAACCTTTTGTGATTTTGTGATTTGTGGTAAAATACATAAATTAATGAAACATTTAAAACGTTCTATAACATTGGTATGGCACTAATTATGGGATGTCGTTAACAGATTTCCCGCGAGACAATCCACGCATAAGCGGCCATGAACAAGTCTACGCTATCGAAGAACCCCTAGATGTGAACTGTTCCTCTGCCAAAGCTTTTCCAGCACCAGAACTTCAATGGTTAATCAACGGTGAAAAAGTGAGTACATAGACGAACTCAACTCTATGTAATGGCAAGATTTGTGAAGTAATTGTAACTGTGGATTAACCGAATCTACATCTAATATCTTATTATTCTTTTGTCTTATGATTCGGAAGCGAAAAATCGATCTAGCTAGGTTTCATTTTTAGAAAATGTCCTTTTATCCCTGTTTTCAGGGAATAAAAAATATCATTCGAATATGACGGTAAATTTCGCCGCAAGAGAAAATGTTATAATAGCTCGGTTGGTAATCGGGCGGACCCAAAACAGACGCCCGTGGTTCGTGTCACGCTCATTTACACACTTTTTTTTTACTTTTTTTTTGATTCCAGACCACCTTTCTTTATTTTTTATTTTTGTTGATCCAGATGATTTTGTATTTTTTTCCCTTTTTTTAAAGTTGTTTCTTTTGTGATAAACACCACTTCATATTTTCTTATTATTAGGTCGGTAAGATAGAATTTGTATCTAAATGTAATTTCCAAAATACACGATTTACAAAAAAAAAACAAACCGAGCAAAGCTCCTCCAGGTACTAAACATTTATGTACCTAATGTTTTATTTGCGTTCACTTCCTAATCCCATATCTCGAGCAGATAGAGCGATTATGAACAAAAAATTATACAACCTTTTTTTAAAATTAAATAAGGTATAGAATATAGAATGTAGAAACTACATAATAAAACTGAACATACTACTAAACTAAACATTGATATAATGGTAGGCGATTCCAATATAAGCTTAACAATTTCTGTGTGGACTATCCCCTTGATTAAAATCTACATAGCAGAATATATAGATGCGGTATTCCCTACTTTAGAAACATCTCAAAGCACGATAAAACTCAACAATGTAATCTGCTGCACACGAGTTAACTAATAAAACTAGAGCCAATCATGCTTTATAAAATTTATTGATCTCACCTTTTCAGGTAACAGATAAAGCGTTTTTAGTCGCTTATGGGGCAAGACCTGTGTCCCAAGGCCTTCTGGTCTCAACACTGGGTATGAAGGCACCAGCGAAACCAAAAATGAAGATTACGTGCATCGCGTCGATTGGGAATCATCAGCGGGAAAGGACTGTTTTAATAGGTAAATATTTACCAGTTTCTGTTCACCAGTTTTAATCGGAGTTTTTGCAATGGTCATTAAGGATCCGAAACAAAGCTCAATAATTGTCATTGTAATAAAAATGTGACATGCAAAAATATTAAAATCTTGTTACTCGCGAAATAACATTAATCTACTTATTGCGTAAAATATTTACAGGAAAGAATTGCGGATTTTCCTAATTTGAGTCCGTCGACACACCTAACTAGGGATAATCTCGCCAAAATTGGGCAAATGTCGAGCTTTGACGTAACTAACCTTTGTCATTTTTATTTATGTGTTTGACATGGGTACGATGACATAAAGAGGCTTTAAACTCCCATTTCGTGAAACGAACGTCGAACGAAAGTACTCAACATTAACATTCGGTTGTTTTTCATACAATTAACCTGAAATAACTAACATTTCTCTAATTATTTCAAATATCATTAAACAATTTCAAAAACATTTTGTAAGATCCGAATAATATTGTATTTAATAGGTAACAAATGGACAAATAAAAAAAATATTATTGTATTTAATTGGTTAACAATTTCAGCCTGTCTATTTACCCTCCGTTGAAAAATACGTTAAAATTCATATCAAAAAATAGCCTCGGCCGTTGTAGCTGCTTGTTGCCTTACCGAGGTACTTCTTATAGTAACCATAGCAACGTTATGCCCCTGTTTTACATAGATATAAATATTGATAGGTTAAAGCAAAATCATATCAATCTTAAGCTCTTGTACTCAAGCTTGCCGTTTTATGATCACAACAAAAAATGAATATTATACTAGCTTTTCGCCCGCGACTTCGCTCACGTTGAAGCCCTTAAATAAATATCTTTCTTTAAAAAAAATCCAATAAAAAATAACATGTCCTTTCTCAGGCTCTAGACTATCTGTGTTGCAAATTTAATTTAAATCGGTTCAGTAGTTTTGGCGTGAAAGCGAGACAGACAGACACAGATACTTTGTGCATTTATAATATTAGTATACAAGTATGAATTGATACATAATAGCACTTTGAGAACGATACAATTCAATAAATCTTACATAATACTTTGCAATTATTTTGATTTATAAAACGTTTTCGCAAAAGAAAGGACACTGGTTTACTTTTTATATTTATCTTATCTCAATATAAAAAAAACCATGTAAACTTTTGAATGTCGCGCATAACGTGGATGGCAAAGGGACCTTAAAAAGACAAAGCAAAGTGATAAGAAACATCGAGAACATAACGAACATAACAAAACATCGAAAATATAACGAAGCTGTTCACCTACCCGCTAAATCCACCCAGGTTACAACCATGTTAGGACTCAATATTTCGATTGCCCAGAGCCTGGTCAAGCTTAGATCAGTGAGGAGGCTAGTTGACATGTCAGTGAAGGCACATCAGGCCTAGCACATTTTTCTGTAACGAAGCGGACAGAAGATGAATTTGTATCAAAATAATGTTTTTCGTATAAACGAAGTGTGTTGTTTTTAATCTATATATATATATATATATATATATATATATATATATATATATATATATATATAAAAATGATCCCCTATTTCCCTTCGTCACGCCATCACGCGTGACCGGCTGGGCCGATTTTGTTAATTCTTTTTTTATAATATTTCTTGATGTAGGAAGATGATTCTTACGGAGAAAAAATTTTTAAAATGCCTGAAAATGTCTAACAACACTTTACTATATTCCCGTACACGAGATTCGTAATAATAAATAAGTCAATTTGAACTTTAATACCATACCATAAAGTTTAAGTGTTAGTGGAGGGGTCCTAGGAAGGCAAAACAAGTGAGTGACTGTGGTAAAATGTCACTTGAAATGTACGTCTCTTTGCTGTGCATCACTACATAGTATAAAACAAAGTCGTCCCGCTGTCTGTCTGTCCCTATGTACGCTTAAATCTTCAAAACTACGCAACCGATCTTAATGCGTTTTTTTACTAAAGAGAGTGATTCAAGAGGAAGGTTTATATATAAATAAAACCTTATTTGTTAACTCTATTTATAATTATGTATTACACTATCCGACTGTTACACATAGTTAAATAAACCAATAAATGGAATTCACTTAAATGTTAATCAATTCTCAAAATTTTCTTGGTGTTAAGTAATCGTAAACAATGTAAAGTTATCGAAACGTTAAGAATTCAAGAAGCATTAAACAAACGATAAAAAATAGTCAGGTTTAACTTTTTCTAAAGACAAAATTTCATCAACTGGAGATTTGCAAGAGTGAAAGGACAATATTCCTAGGTGGGTTTTGTTTTATGGATACTGAGGAGAGAAATATGGTTCTTAAAGAAAAAAAAGTACTCGTATTAGTTCGGGGTTATGTTTCATATATACAACATTTTTCCACGCGCTTATTTCATTCCACTTCTTTTCTATTGTTTTCCCTGGATTCGCACGGGAGTATTTTTTGTCATAATATCAACATTCATGACTCTGCTGGATTCTACTTATTAAATTTTTACACATCCCAGCGTAGATATCAAATGAAGTCAAAGATTTAAGGGAAAACATCGAAAAGAGTGAGGAAAAATGTTAATCTAGAAGCTTTTAGCATCATTTTCCAGCAGATATTTCGAGCAAATTTGGGAGGGGGTTGTATTTTAAAATCGTTGCAATTGTTTTTACCTATGTACAATTACTTACTTATGTTACAGAAACGAATTCCGCAATTCGCCGTGCATCGATGTACTCATTCATCATTTTAACAAGCCTCATCAACTTTGCGGCCCCAAAAACCTCGTGATACCAACAATTTTATTGAGTTGAAATAAACCTATGGTTCTACTAATTTCCAAAAGTATGTCAACAACCCTCTTGAGAAGAAGAAAGATAAATGAGGAACTAATGAGAATAATAAAACAAAAACAAGGGACTGTGAGATACCTACTAACTTTAAATATTAGATGAAACGCTGACGGTGATTTAAAGAAATTGTAATGTTAATTTGCGTGAGCGTTTATTACATTTTATTAACAAATGTTAATAAAATGTAATAAATTCATGTAACATGTTAGTGTTTGCCATAAAAGCGATATTTAGTCGATACGTGTCTATTGGACTGTTTATTTCTTTTATGCCCACTGTCAATCTAGGAAAAACTGCGTGATATTAAATTTATTTCATGTAAATAAACTTTCAATCTTTCTATTAAATCTTTTATTTTGAACAGATTTTTTTTATTCTTTGAACCGCACTAAAGCTACGGATGAAGTTTAATTGCACCCTTGGCATATGTGGTAGGGCCACGCAGCAGCCTCGGCTGTTGCACGAATGGGCAGGCCCGTCCGGGTAAGTACCACGACCTCACAAAAGACCAGCGTAAAGTGCAAGGATGACAAATACTTTCGCGTTTCGTCTGATGAGTGAGGTAGCTGGAGCCCAATTTTCAAAAGGTTGTCAACGCATCTGCAAACCCTCGGGTGTAGCAGATGTCCATGGGCGGCGGTATTCACTTAACATCAGGTGAACCGTCTGCTCGTTTGGCAACTTTTCACATAAAAAAAACATGTTTAATTATGTAAAAAATCGAAATATATACGTCTAAGTTTACTTCATGCAGAATTATAATAGTGTAAAGTGTAATAAGGTAAATCAGTTTTGACCACAAATTACCTTAAGTTTATGCAGATTAAACGTAAACAGAATTGGTAATGAAGATAATGTATATTACGTAAATCAACAGAAAAGTTAATTGAAGACGCACGTGACAAACATATATCGACCAGATTAACGACATACGGAATGGGCGTAAGTATGTGCCCGTAACTGAGTGTGATGTATGGATGTAAAAGTTAGGAAAACTGTGTGTATTAACTGTGAAAAGTCAAAGTCTAAATCCAAAGTAATCTTTGCTAACAATTTTGGGTGACAAAAGCAAATGTTTACTTATTGTAGCTGATGTTACGCAGGATTTATATGCAGCTTTTATATGACTCTTTTATTTGTATCTATATTCGTATATATATTATTTATCCCAATATATTGTAACATTTTGTATGTTAGACATAATCTTAATTGTTACCTAAAGAATAGTGACAGACATAAATTAAATACTAGAAATAGGTCATTCATGTGGCAAAGTGTGCGCATGTATATTAAAATCAAAAGTGAAGTTATGGCTAAGGCATATTATACCATTGCGGAATATCTTGACGACGGCTAAAGATACGACTTATAGCTGTCCTATTACATTGTAAACTAATCGTTTAAAAAAGGGCAACTGTTGAGTTTCTTGCCGGTTTCTTCTCAACAAAACCTACTTTCCAAACCAGTGGTAACTTATTTACCAACGTTTTTTTATGTGAAAAGAAGCCAAGTGAGCAGGTGGTTCACCTGATGTTAAGTGAATACCGCCGCCCATGGACATCCGCTACACCCGAAGGTTGTAGATGCGTTGACAACCTTTTGAGAATTGGGCTTCGGCTACCTCACTCACCAGACGAAACGCGAAAGTATTATATTTCAACTTTACGCCGGTCTTCTGTGAGGTCGTGGTACTTACCCGGACGAGCCTGCCCATTCGTGCAACAGCTTCAATGCCCGGGTTATGGGGTTCGAATCCCTGATGCCCGTACCTGCACCTACCCGACTGCTAGGGCAGTGTGTGGACTACCCGTGTGTGTGCAACAGCTGAGGCTGCTGCGTGGCCCTACCACATTATAAATTTCATCCACACCACCTCGATGTGCAGCGTTCCACAACAGCGCGATTTTCAACGCATTTCCTGCCTCGCACAACCACTCTGTGGAACCAGCTGCCGCCGGCGGTCTTTCCGAACCGTTACGACCTAAGAACCTTCAAGAAGAGAACGAACTCTTTCCTAAAAGGGCGGCAACGCATTTGTAAGCCCTCGGGTGTTGCATATGTCCATGGGCGGCGGTGATCACTTACCATCAGGTGAGCCTCCTGCTCGTTTGCTGCTTTTTTCCCATTAAAAAATATAAGTTAACAACGACTTAATTTTTAAGTAAAATTTTAACGTTTCATAAGAACGCGCAAGCGCCTATATGAAATGTGAATAAAAATATGACTTTGATTTTGTATATATATTCGACTAAGCCACTTGATATTTATAATTTATAATAATCTTAATAATTTATAATGTGGACTCATTACTAATCAAATATGTAGGTAATTTTCTTTACGTTCATTCTGATTCCTTACTGAAAGCTTATGCGCAAACACGGTTTAAAGGAATACATAATATACAGGGGACTGATAATGTCATCTCAATTATCATTCACGATGCCACTGATTGATAGCTGACTTACTAAATTACATAAATTAATCGTTATTAATTAACGATAATTAATAATACAATAAAATTATATTATCATATTATAAAATTATATTTTAATATCAATTCGTAAATTAGTATTAATTTATGATTGTATTTATCAATTTATAAATAAACATATTATTAAAATAATATAAAGAGCGACTTGAAAACCGAAAAGTTGGAAGTGTCATAGTTTAAAAAAGGTATTTATGAAATCACATGTGAATTCGTAAATAAGATAGTACTACTACATGTGTCATTGAATAGGAACGACGCATATGAGATTGAACAGCATAACCGGATTAAAATTGTATCTAATGAATAAAATGAAATGTATTAGAAATCTTTTGAAGGAAAATAAATTGTTGTCCATTTTTGCAGTAAATGAGTATACGGTGAGTATAGTGTGTTGGCCACCTGGTGGGAGTTCACTTGATGTTCGATGATATCCGCGGTCCATTAACTTTTGCAAAATAATGTTAACTTTTGCGCAAAATAATGTGTTGCGACCTTTTCATAAAGTGGGTTCCGGCTACCTCCTACTCACCAGACGAAACGCAGAAGCACTTCCACCTCTCACCGGTCTTTTTTAAGGTGATACTTACCCGGGCGGAACTGTCCATTCGTGCAACGGAAGACTATCGCGTTGCCCTTATATGTATAAACAAATATCTAGCAATGTCACTTATTAAAATTTTTAGAAAAAAGCACAAAAACTTTTTCGCCGTTGTGGGAATCGAACCCACGTCTTCCAGATTCGCGCCCTGACGCTTTAGCCACTAAGCTTAACGGCTAATTGGCACACCGATGATTGGCAAATCTCAACATCTTTTATCTACATTGTTTTTAGCATTTGAAACAAGATTTTGTCCCTAGATTTTTGTAACCCTCCCATATTAGTGAAACAACATCCTAACAGCATTGTTGTCGTTTTACATCGTTAAAAAAGAAAAAAATACACAAATACTATTCTGACTTGCAAGTTAATGGTGCTTATTATCTTCACGTCAAGATCGTATATCATAAGATCGTTTCACATATGCACCCATTTACTTGGATCCCAAATCATTTGATGTTAGCAGAGTTCGTATTTTGAATGTTTTACTATCATAAAATAATAATTTTAATTTGATTTCACAATACAGACGGACGTAAAATTACGACTTTGCAAACGGTACAAAACTAAACTTTGGGTTTCAAATTCTACCAGCAAGAGCATTAAATTAATTACTTTCATAGCACATTCATCGCCGCTCGTATTTGAGAACTGAGATAGAGCACAAACTTTAACACAACATAAAGTGAAGCCAGCTGCGTTAGCCAACGCCAATTTTCGTAAGCCTTTTAAAAATTCTACAGTGATTCATCATATATGCAAAGTTAAAACGCAATTTTCCAACTGAAGCGTTAGTTTTGTAAATTTCATCACGTAAATCGAAATTACGTAATGAATGCTAATTAGTTCGCGCATTGACCTCGTTCCCTATTTTCTAATCGTGACATTGATTGGCCTCTCAGACTTATTTCACCTTCATTGATTTGTTTTATCTTCCTTTTGATCTAGAGGCTGCTCGGATGCCGTAGGCAGTGTGCTTTCGTAAAATCCAATAATTGCACCAGTATTAGTTTATAAGTTGCCCTGCAACAACAAACTTAGCAAAGATGTCTTTAATAAAAAAAATGCATTAATAAAACGGAACTAACAAATCGCTTGAATTCATATACCATCTTTATGACATGCAATCCAAAGTAACAATCGCGATATTGACTACTGAGATATAGATAATTATAAATTCTCCATGTTATAAAGAACATAAAGATATAAAGACATAGACTAATTTCTAATATGATCTGAAACTATTCTACAGATTTTATCGTCTCGTTTATAAAATTTATAAAATTATTTAGTTTCTTTACAAAGTATCGATTGTTACTACTTTATCATATATGTCACTAATACTTTAACTGAACTATGATTGTAGATACTGTACTGAATTATGATTGTAGATAAGTATTTTTCTTTTTCAGTTAACCCACACCTTTATTCCTAAATTTATTTCTTTTTAATCCATCCAAAGGTTAGCCTGGAAGAAATTACTCTTAGTAATAAGCCCGCCCATTGCACCCATCACTTCTACATTAAGTTTTAATTTTTGTTTGTTTTATTTTTGGTGTGCAATTAAGTATATTCATTCATTCATTCACTTTAGCAAATTATAAAAAATAAAAAAGTTAAAAATTCGATTCAAGTTAATCGTAACGGTAGCTAAATGGCATGAATGTTAATCCCAAACACTGATTTATTTGGACAACTTTATTGATTTTCATGTTTGATGTTAGAAATGTGTAAAGAATTCTCAGAGTTTGCGATTAAAATTAAGAAAATAATAGTTCACTACGTCACACTTTAAATAGGTTTATTACATTTCTTTACAACAAAGACTATGCTAGCTATTTACAATCTTTCCCGTCGAGTCGACACTTGTCTCACTATCGACGATTTCGTAGTGTATTCCATTGCTTTTTAAACGTTCCACGATGTCGGTATCGTGGAAAACACATTCAGGCATCAAAACGCCTCCTCTGAAACAATAAACAATGAAAAAATAAGAAAAGTACATATTAAAACATGTAGAAAAATTATTGTCAAATAATTAAAAAAATTAATGTTAAATAAATAAATAAATTAATGTTCAATCTTAGGTGCAGAGATTAGCACTATAAAAAACTTTAATAAAGTACATATTGTTAATAAAACGGATTTTTATCAGATACCGTAATGTAAGAATCTCACTTTAGTACCTATAACCACATTTCTATAAAGTTAATAAGTATCTTATTTAGAAAATTTAATAATGAGTTATTTCTCGATCTAAATATACTAATACTATAACATACTTGATATGTTTGTTTGTTTTAAAGTTTTTTATAGTGCTAATCTCTGCACTTAAGATTGATGCCGAAGACGTGGGTTCGATTCCCACAGCGGCGACAATCTTTTCGTACTTTTTCTACATGTTTTAATGTTTGTTTGTGTCTTACACTCCTTTTTAAGTCTACGAGAATAGCAAATTATTAATTTGCTATTGAATAATTACTCTCAACATAAATAAAATTAATGATTAAAATTAAGAGTAATCGATCGACTTATTAATTATAATGTTTCCATAGCACAGTTTCTTAACTATTAGCTTCGATGCCGGGAGTCACTGGGTTGTTTTCCAAACAGGATATGTAATGGTAAGTAAAAATTAATTATTATAACTTGTTGCGTGCACAGCGGCATGAGATTAACACCATATTTTTTAGCGTTACTCGATAAATCTTCCTTAAATATAGTGTGAAGTCTATAATAACTTTAATTATATTAAAATAATAAAGTTATATATAAATAAACGTTATTTAAATCAGAATATACATTTAAATTACACTATATTGTATTTAAAACTTTTACTTTTACTAAAATTTTTAAAATAAAAGTAAGTAATAATAAAAGAAAGTCCCGTCAACCGAGATTACCCGAAACAGCCCGACAGACAAAAAAGTAAAAAATTATTATTTTGGTATATGTTTGTTACACAGACGTTTTTTATAACTACTACTATCTTACTTTGGCGTCTTTGACCTCTCTAATAAGATGGTGACTGCTGAAAACAAGGCAGCCGCTGCCGTAGTTTTGTAAGCGGGATCCGATCCAGTTATCTGTAAAAGATAAGATAAGATAAGATATGTTTCGAAATAAAAACTTATTATTTAACAGGCAATTAGTTTTTATATTTTTAGCGTGAAAAGAATTATTATTATTATTATTATTAGAGAAATTATTTTTAGCGTGAAAAGTTGTGAAGCCAACAGAAGATTCACCTGATATTAACACAGGCGCCCGCGGACTTCAACAACACCTGATTGGCTTGCAGATGCTTTGGCAACCTTTAAAAACGTGTTCACCGGCTACCTCACTCTCAAACGACGAAACGCGAAAGTTTAATACTTCTACTTCACGCCGTTTTTCTATGAAACTATTGTGCATCCCCGGACGCGCCTGCCCATTTGTGCAACAACAGAAGCGGTTGCGTGGCAGCTTCCGCTCTTGCACGTACCTTTCATTTTGAATTTATTTAAATGTTTTATAAAATCAGATAATTAGACGCTTTTGACGATTGATGGTTTTAATCAATCGCCATAATTTGCATCTGTTTCATGACCGCTCAGTGACCAGTCGTTTGCCTTTTAATTAGTATACTTCAAATTCCGGCGCTGCCATTAATGATATTGTTAATTGCATTTTCAAGTGCTGAACGACCCCATTCACAGCGGTAGAGGAAAACATCGCGGTAATACCTGCATATTTTCTAAATAATTTTAAATAAAATATTTTCGAAGATATTTGAAGTCTACCAATCTGCAGTGGGATCGGTAGACTGTACAAATCGTCTGTACACATTGCTTGTTATATACTCTTCACTTTTTTTAAGAATACGTTGCATGAAACAGTTTTCCTGTTGTTAGTCCACCTCTCTTTGAGAATAAGATTTATATATTTTTAGATAGTACTGGGGTAACTGGTGGTAATGGTACGGGGCCCACTTATTTAATGTTGGCAACCCTTCAGGCGTTTTAGATGTCCATGGGCGGTGTTAATCACTGAACATCAAGTTAGCTGCCTGCTCATTTGTGAGATTTAACAATTTTAAAAAAAAAGTTCAACTAACTCTGTCCGGTGAGAGACAGAGTAATTCTTTTTTAATTTTATATTGAAAGAATATAAAATGAAATAAAGATACAATTTATAACAACTCTTTGAATACGAATAAAATAGAATATTTTTAGTCGTCATTTCATATTTCGTCTCACCTTTACCGTTCGCGATTTGGCTTCCTTGTCGCTGCCTTTCCCGATTAACGTGAATGTGTACTTCAGTTCGTTCTTCAATCTCTCCGATGGGCCCTTATGTGACATTAAGCCGAAAGAAAAGAATCCCGGGTACTTCCACATCATGTTCCTGAAACATCTCAGTCGGCAGGCGTAATATGCAATAAACACCAGCGGCACGATGAATATTATGTGAATCAAAAGCGGCATCGTCGTATAGGCCTTAAAGAAGATGGGTTTCTTTCCATTTTTCTCCCGAAAATACATCTGCGCCAATTGAATTGACTTCCGCATCGGGTCCAGGATAAGGGAACCACCATGACCCTTCGCGTTTGTGAAAGAACGATCTGAAATTGGATGTTTTTTGATGGTGTAACTTTTCCCATTCCGGAATGCAACATTATAGCCCTTAACGACAAGAACGGCTCCCCAAACAAACGTAAGTGTCGGGAGGAATTTAAAGAGTGAAATAAAACGTTTGATATGTTCAGCAGTGAACTCTAACAGGCGGAAACGATGATGATTATGACTTACGTTTATTTATTTAGGTCAATAGTTTGTCAAATCTTTTAGGTGCAAATAACAGATAACCAAATAATATTGACATTTCATCTGAACAGAAAGAGGATGCCGGAATAAGTATTCAACTTTGACTAAAATAATTGGAGAAATTAATTTAAACAGTAGAATGTGCAAGTTAGAATGAGTATGCATTAATTATTTGGAGTACTTCGTATTCAAATTAGTTATGCTAGTTCTTCTGTATCCTTCTCGACTTCAAGATACGTGACGAAATCTGAAGGAACGGTGGAAGCTGGTAAAAGGGCCACGAAATGGGTTCGGCTGTTGCCCAAATGGGCAGGTGCGTCTGGGTAAGTACCATGACCTCACAGAAGACCAAAGACCAGCGTGAAGTGGAAGTGTTATACTTCTGCGTTTCGTCTGGTGAGTAAGGTAGCAACATTTTATTAAAAGGTGGCTACGTATCTGTTGCAAATGTCCATGGGCGGCGATTATCACTTAACATCAGGTGAACCGCCAGCTCGCTTGCTACTTTCTCACATAAAAAAATGAACAAAAACGGTTGCCATAACTGAAATTCGGTTAGAGGAAGCCGCATTGATATTTTATCTAAGCATTATTCGCAGTACGCTACATAATTAATATTGTAGAATTACATATATGTAATAAGAACATCTAAGAGGTAATTAAAATAATTAAATGTTTATCATTGTCAACGTATTTTATTTTAAAACCAATTCTTCACTCTTTCCCACCTCCTTATTTTTTTCCCGTTATTTGTCGGGTAGAGAACACCTTTTTTTAAAAAAAAAAAAACATTGCCTTCACTTTAGAATAACATTATCCTGTGTTGTAAGGACGTTTTAATAACATAAATTGCACGAGAACAAACACCCAGATGCGAAACAACACAAATAGACGTCCCGTGTGGGAATCGAACCCACGACCCCCGACGCCGAAGCCAATGCCTTGGCATCTGCGCCACGGAGTCATCAGGTAACCTAATGGTGTTAAGTCCGCCATTGTACGATATTGTGCATAAAGTTTTTAATAAATAAAAATAAGTCAAAAGTAATTAATTTTTAAGTCATTAAAGTACCTGGATTTAAACATATACTTTATGCAAAGGTAAGTGTTCATTTTTAGGGTTCCGTAACTAAAAATTCCGTAATAATAGGGTTCATTAGTAAGACTCCGCTGTTCGAATGAACTTATTTTGTACTATTTGCAACTTGTACAAGCGAGTAGGGTTTATGTAGGCGAAGATCACGCATAGTACATAATAGGTTTTACGCAGGCCTTATAATAAATTGTGCATTTTACTTCACGCATTGGTTGTAGTGATAGAGCCGGCCGGAGACGAACGCGGCTCTGTTTCTAATATCGTTAATATGGGATGTGAAGTCATTAAAGTAACACGTTGGACAAGTATCTAGTTTCAAATATGAGAATTCTCACAGGTTACGGTTATTCACGGCCACGGAGCGAACAAAAATGCTGCAAAAAATTAATGAAATCAAATTAAATACAAAAATTATGAAACTGGGCCAAGACATTGACTTGACCGTTAATTACATTACTTTGTCGTCGATTTGTTTGACTTATTTTAAATTTGCTATATAGTTTTTTGTTTTGTTTGCCAATGGCTAATTACACAAAATTTTTATTTACACTTAAGAAAAAACCAAAGTGCGTTCCACGAGGACAGCTATTTTATTTTCCTGTCTGCTTCCTGATCTTTTTTTGAGTAATCATGATGCCAGTAAACTACTCATTTTACTTGTAGCACTATTTTCCAACGTGTAGTCATAAACATTACAACTTGGAAAAAACCGGCCAAGTGCGAGTCTGAATCGCGAATGATTCCGTAGGACTATCGAAAAAAAATCATGACTGTTGTATGGAAGCCCAAATTAAATATTCATTGTTATTTCTTGTTATAGCGGCAACAGAAATAGATCATTTGAAATTTTACCTGTCTAAGTATCATTGTTCATGAGATGCAGCCTGGTGACAGACAGACAGCGGATTCTTAGTAATGGGGTCCCGTTCTACCCTTTGGGTACGGAATCCTAAAAAGTGCAACTTGTTGCGGTATTGTTCATTATTTCATAATGCCCATTCGAGCTACACCGTAAACTGTTGCGCGGCCCTACCATAGTTTATAGCCATATTAAGCATATTAACTTTTGCCTTAAAAATACCCACATCTAATTCGGTAAAACAGATGCCGGTAATTATAAAAAATATTAAAACACAAACAGACTGCCGAAGGTTAGGATGGAAGAAAAAAATGATTTGGCATGTCCAAACTTGTTTCTAATATTTTTCTACAATATTTCCCTCATTCTTATGATGTTATTTTTCATTTCTATGAATTGCGTTTGTCATTACTGCGACCGTAGTTGTGCGACATGCGTGTATATAACGCGAAAATCTCTTACACAGCTCCGAGCGTTGACATAACATTTAATAATATATAAGGGGGAAATCTAACGCATACACAGCCTTCGTATTACCGTTTTGTTTCATTACTATTTTCCATGGCGCGCGATGTTTGTTGGTCCCGACATATGTCATATGATATATGACATATGTCTAGCAAAATTGTAAAGGCACATTTTTATACAATATTCAGAATAAACTCAGAGGCAATTGTATGTTTTAATGGATACTTTTTATTCAGCTTTCTGTAATAACGTGAAATGTTCCGTATTTTTTTTTATTCTTTACACTGTTACCCCCATACTAAAGTTAATGCCATTTACTACCACCGAGAGTCATGCTCTCTTACAACATGATGACCTTATCTTTTGAACCCAGGTTACAAATTGGAAGATTATTTTGTGTCACGTGAGTTTGTGTGTACATCGGAGAATGGGATCTGCACGCAAAGGGAAACGCGACTCTCGTCTATACCCTATAGGTCTATAGCCAATACTGAGAAGGAACGACGAATTAACCACGTCTTTAACTTTTCGATCGCTATTCTTTGTACCACGGATGGTAATAACTTTTTACTTTATTGTTTTATCTTTTATCTTTATCGTTTTAAAACTGCATGGATTGCCTCGCGTGCAAATGATTGGCTACAGAAAAATAGCCAAGCATGCTTTATTTAACGCCTAATATATATATATATATATAGAGAGAGAGAGATGACATATATATAGAAAGAATATGGTATAGAGATATAGAACAGCATGCCTTGCCACGACATTACGAAGCATTGCAAATACAAAAGCCGGCTCTTCGGGAAAGTACCGCTCCCGAAGAAGATCAACTACAAAATGTGTTCAGTAATGGAAACGTAATGCGCCATGTATGAGGTAAAACCTACTCGATTGCATTCAGCATTAGGCTCAAGAACCGGACGGCCTTCGTAATCGATCGCCTTTATCCGCCAATAAATAAAACGTCGAAAAACTTCCTTCAGAACAAGGTGACATTATATAAGGCAGTACATCGCCCTATAATGATGTCCGCGAGTCCGATTTTGCCTCATATTGCTGCGAAGTAAATGCACCGCCCTCAGGATATCCAGAATCGATTTTTGGGCAGAACTACGGGAGCACAGTTTTAAACGGGTATCCGCCAATAAATAAAACGTCGAAAAACTTCCTTCAGAACAAGGTGACATTATATAAGGCAGTACATCGCCCTATAATGATGTCCGCGAGTCCGATTTTGGCTCATATTGCTGCGAAGTAAATGCACCGCCCTCAGGATATCCAGAATCGATTTTTGGGCAGAACTACGGGAGCACAGTTTTAAACGGGTAATGAGTAACAGCTCAAGCCGAAGCCCCCTCCCGGGGGCCTAAGAACGCGTCAAAGAACTGGGTGGCCTTCCAAACTAGTGAAAATAATAATAGCGTGACGGCTCGAGCCAAGGCTTTTGTGGGAACTCAAGCCCTGTATTATGGATCTGTAAAGGCACCCAAAGCCAACAGTGGTTGGCTTTGGGTGCCTTTACAGATCCAGCCATAAATAATAAAAAAACAATTGCTGATTATAACTTAATGTAGCCCGTTTAAATCACCCACTCCTTGATAGCCCGAGCCATTTTTCAAAAGTAGAAATTTTTCACGTGCCGCAAAATACGTATTTAAAAGGTATTAAAATCAACACGTTTAAAAAAGTTTTACAGAATTTACAGTTATTGAAAACATTAAAATAAAAGTACAAAATATGTGTATTAAATTTAATATATTAAAAATTAACCACGTTTACATGACTTCTCTTGATAATTCTTTAAAACTTAATGAGTAATTAGTGACACAACTTCTCAGTAATTCTTTGAGATGCTGGTTAGTTCATACTGATCTATTATATTAATTATCGCTATTATGTTATAATAGCACAAAAAAAATTAAAAGGAAACTGCGGTACATTTATCGAGAGCAAAAAAAATTTGAAGAATTGGATTTCCCCACGAAAAAACAATATAGTCCCAGTGGCATAGACTATACTACACAAAAATCCACTCTTTCCGATCGTCGTGATCGTTCGGCTTTGTAAAGAAACGTTGAATGTGTTTGGATTCTCTTTTAATCAATATCAATGATCAACATCAAATCAACGCTGTTTCTTTACAACTTACACGTGCAACGTTTCTACCAAGTCACACACTTAAACAAAACATATAAATAAAGTAAAATAAAATAGAACAGTTTTATTACATTACATTGCACCGTTCCACCACTTACACAGATTGGGTATTATTTTAGAAGTTTAAAAATATCGAAACCGTAAGTTACTTAACACACTTTATCTTATGACTGTTCACTAACAGTCATTAGGCATTTTTAAAGTATTGAAGACTAGTGTTTCTGTTTTCTATTTACTCATGAACAAGCAACTACGTCCATCCAGATTTAGCTGTTTTTTTTTAAAATTACCCTGTGTGGTAAGGTCATTTTATAAACATAAATTTCACGTGGACAAACACCCATATCCGAAACAACTATCTGTGGTTCACACAATTAGTTGTCCCGTGTGGGAATCGAACCCACGACCCCAGACGCCGAAGCCAATACCAATTGGCAACTGCGCCATGGAGATATTAGGGACTCAAATATTTTAATCATAAGAAGCAATGTTATTAGAAGGTTATCATTAAAATTCGATTCAGCTTTGTAATTTCCACACACCGTAACCACGCTTCCAACAGTGTTGCAATAAATTTATGCTAAGTAATGTAATGTAGTAGATTTATAATTTGTATGGAGCCCTTGGAATATACTAAACGTAGAAGTTAAGGTCACACAACTGCTGATCGCATTCTCACTGAACCGGTTTGGGGTTATTTAATGCCATAACAAGAACGCCGTTCGAGATGTGGCGTCAAGGCTATATTATGTAACTATAATATGTCATAATTTTCTTCAAAGTGCTAAGTTGCTGGTAGTAATTCTGTACCTTACTCAAAAGCATATCGAGTATAATGTAAAATGCTGGAGTAATCTGTTTGCAATGAATTTAAAAACACAACTGTTTGAATTTTTGTTCGTCTATAAATATGTAATAAAGTTATAATAGGTTTTTACATTAAATTGCCGATCTACAGTACTGGCCATTCCAAACAAAAAAGAAGTTTTATTGGCTGTGAATCATAAATTCAATTTTTTTTGTTATAATTTTTTTTTAACAAACTCAGTCTTTTGTTTATTGATTAGCTTTGTATTTATATTACATTTGAAAATTTTTCGGCATAATGGATAAATTAAAATTCGTGTAATTATGGAATATGAGTTCCGTCGTGGCACCAACGAGGCAGAAGCGGAACGCACAACCCGTTATTGGTTTACCCGATTCCGGCCTGGAAATTTTGACTTTAAAATTGACCTCGTGGACGTCCGAACACTTTCGTCAACAATGGTGAATTAAAGGCGATTGTGACGATACTTTTGATTATACCTTTACTTAATGCCCCACTAACTTAACTATCACCAGCTAAACGTACGCGTCAAGACCTGCCTCACATGGCACAGAAATGAAGGAATTTTGAACCGAATTGTTAGGTGCGACGAAAAGGATTCTGTTCGACAATCAAAGGCGCGCAACAAGTAGGTTAGATCTTGGTTCAGCACCAAAGTAATGCCCAAAACGAAAATGACCCAAAAAAAACGTTAATCAAAAAAGAGTACGGACCACGAGTCTGCAGAGTTAGTTTGTTAAAATAAAAAAAAACGAAAATGACCCCTAAAAGTTAAATTATGGTGATCTAGTGCTGCTGTGATTCCACCAGACTTACCACCTACCAACTATTACTTTTTCCAAAATTTTGACAACTATTTAGGCAACATTCAATTCCCGAAAGGCAGGTCAAGATACCTTTGAAGAGTTTGTTGCCTCCTGACCAGCTGATTTTTACAAGAAGTGCATCAATGAACTACCACTGCGCATCATACAAAAACGCATCGACTGCATGGGTAATAGTAAACAATGATAGGATATTCATCATCATCATTATTTCAGCCTGTTTGAGTCCACTGCTAAACATAGGCCTCCCCCATAGACTGCCACGAAGTACGAACCTGAGCCACCTGCATCCATCGACTTCCCGCACATTTGCACAGGTCGTCACTCCATCTAGTGGGGGGTCGTCCCATATATATATATATATATGTATAGAATATTACATGAGAATATTGCCACCTATGCACAAATAGGCAAATACAAAAGGTCATAATAAAAAACTTTCAAAAAAGTTTTATCCCGAACCAATTTGGATTGTTGGAAGACATTTCAATTTTATGGTCTCATATGCATATACAAGCAATGTATAAGAATAGGAAAAGATATTGGAATAACGAATAGTAATATTTTTTCATCAAATGTTTAATAATAAATATTGCTGAATTTCGACCACTGGTCGAGAACTAGTTTAATTGGATACGTTCAATGTCCCTAACGCTAATTTAACCTATGCTACGTTTAGGGATTTAGTGAAGTGATATTCTAATTATTAAGCCTTTCTGTTGAAAGACGCAACGGTGTGTGTTTTAGTGTAAAAGTAATTTTCGTTTTTGCTTAAACCCTAAGCAATTGTTTGTACTCATTACATGCTTATTTTTAAAATTGTAATTAAAACTCTATTAACCAATTTTTCTTCTTAATATTACAAAACTCCACATTAACTGGCATGTAGTGGTTTCATTGCAGTTTCAACAAAGTAATTATAAATATATATTACTAGCTGCTACCTGCGACTACGTCTGCGTAGAATAAACTGAAGGCGTAACATTCAGAGCTTCAAATGCTAAATAACAATGTAGAAAGAAGGCGTTAAGATTTTCGTCGCTGTGGCTATCAGCCGTTTAGCTCAGTGGCTAGAGCGTCAGGCCGCGAATCCCGTAGTCGTGGGTTCGATTCCCACAGCGGCGACAATCTTTTCGTACTTTTTCTACATGTTTTAATATTCAGACGTTAAGACATATATACATAAAAATATGAATCTAAATTATAGCCTATGTCTTATTCTGATGTATAAGCTATATTATTGTAAAGTCTCATTAGAATCCATTCAGTAGTATTTGCGTGAAAGAGTAACAAACATCCATCCATACATACAAACTTTCGCCTTTATAATATTAGTAAGGAAGTAAGGATAATAATATCATATGCATGTATAAATAATAGTTGTCTCCTATAATAAGACAGATCCATAATGTTATATATATGTACATATCCATAGCATAAGATGTACAAAAAATACATAAAAAAGTCATGTCTCATTCAAGGAATAAAACATTCAACATATACTCGTATACAAGGTATTATTTGTATGAAGTTGACAAATTTTTATAACTGGTTTCCTCAAATAGGAAAATTCGTTAAGAGTCGTCGAGTTATATAATCCACAGGGGTATCAAAAAACGTTATGTTCATTTCAAATGTAATATGCTATAATTATACGTACTTTTGTAATTCCCTCGGCTCTGGCTCCTTCTGTATCTCAGGGTATGTTTGCTTCTTTAAGTCCTTATACTTTTGCATGTTGTACATCTCATGTACAAACGCCTCCCATGTACCATAATGGACTAAAGCTTTGTTTCGACCACCAAAGTAACATTCCCTCGGTATATGCAGTTGAACGTAACATTCTACGGTGTGCAGGGAACCTGAAATGTTAAAAACGTTTTTTTAAATCTCATCCACGACACTTAAATCAACTGTTTATTTTATTACTCGCACGTGATCTTTTCTAAAGAATTTTAGCTGGCGACCGAACTAGCAATTTAAAATACCGTTAAGGATAAACAGTGTAATTCTCAAAAATGCTTTAATAATAATTTACCTAATCAAGAAAACAATCTTATGTATCAAAATTAACAAAAGTGGCAATTGAAAACATTTTTAATTTTTTTATCTTTTTTCAATTTATTTTACTAATTTTCATACAATAGTAGTGAATAGTCTGTGGAGGTTCTTTCTGCTCCTTCTACCATGATACCTTAGGAGCCGTCCATTAATCTCGCGAGGATGTTTTAGCTATTTTTAGCTCCTCCCCGTTGGTGATACGTGGTGAGGTTTAAGACTAACTCAAAATCACGTGTATTTTTAGTACCTACGAAGAATCTTTAAATTTTTTGAATATAATGTTTAAATACAGGTTTAGAGTATAATCTAATTTTATTCTGAAATTAAGGACCATGATCAAATGTAACGGCGAGTCAAGGTAAAACACTACACACTGCTTTTTACTGCGGTTTAGCGCGTTTGACGAAAAAATAAATACACGTGATATCTTACTATACCCACCACCCCTTCCCCCTTGTGATATTTCGTGATTTTTGCCAAACCCTTTCAAGCCTCACGTGATTAATGGATGGCCACTTACTACCTTATTAACTGTTATACAAATTATCAGCTAATGAATTTAACTACTTTTCATAGTGGCCAAAAGTAAAAGGCGAATGATACGGCTTGATATATCATAATCCTTAACCGAAATCGTAACGGATAAGCTCATTCCGGACGAGTACACTTTAGGAACCTTCGAGAAAGGACTCGGTCATTAAAACTCGGAACGAAACAAACAAGTCAATAAACGTACGTGTGTATGTCACTGAACTCCTCCCAAACGGCTGGAGCGATTTTAATGAATTTTTGTGTGTCTTCTGGTATATTCGAGAATGGTGTAGATTCACAATTTGGTCCACTACAATGTCTTTTTTTAAATTATTTTGTTTATAAATTGTTGTCGGATTTAAGTCGTGTGTACAAAACAAAGTCTGTCGGTTCGCTAGTATTAATACAAAATGGAAATAATACTTTATTCTTTAAGCCAATATTTTATAGAAATCATAACAGTTACGAGCACAAATAGATATCAAGTCACAGGGGTTTTAGTATGGAGTCATACATTTATTATACTATTTTTATACATTTCTTATATTATTTATAAAGCGAACTATGTGCCAAGTAAACAGAGAAATATCCCTCACCCTCAAAATATTTATCCAAAAGATTGAGTCCTGTCGATGTTGGTATGGATGCAAAACCACAACTCGGTACTATTAGAACGTCGGCAGCTTCCGCTGTTTTATGGTACGCTCTATATACATTTAACATATGCTGAAAAGATCGTATTTTACAAAATTATAAATTGATATAATAAGTCAAATGAACGAGAAATGTGATTAGCGATCTAGATGAATATTTATAGCTCAAGTACCTAATAAAAAAATAAATTAAAAAAATATAGATAAACTAAGATATTGTTTGATAATTACTGGGGATTAAAAAAAAACGGATATTACATTATGTTCAAAAAACCTGATTTGCAAAAACATAACGTGACATACATATTAATCAATTAGGCACACAAATGAATAGTTATACCTACTATTAAGTTAAAAACGTTACAGTTTATATTTTTATACGCTAAATTTCTCCTTTAAGTTCTCAACTATAAAGCCTCCGGAACTTTTTGCCATGGTAAATATCTGGGATCCATGCTACTTTTTAGTAACCAAAAAATGGACATAGTATTTATAATACACGTAAATTGCTATTAGCCACTTGTAAAAAAAGATATAAGTACTACCACATATAACTAGAACATACCGAGAATGGAACCTCATCTATAAAAACTATAAAAAACATGAAAGATGATAAATGGTATTCGACCGTATAAGAAATTTTACAAAAAAATGGGGAGTTGATTAAAAGTATCGGAATGTAGAGCCACATCAAAAATGTGTCAAACTTTAACACATGCGTATTTAAAAAAATACTATGAATATTGAGGACATTTTTACATACTTTTACAGATGATCCAATTGAATAATTTTTAATACTTACATATAGCTCAGCTGATATATCAACATAATGAGTTCCACTCTGTATGCACGCTTTCACTATATACTCGCTCAATAATGTATTGGGTCCAGTGCAATTTATGACAATCTTTGCTCTTTTTGTAACATTAGTTAAGCTATTCTCGTCCTTAACGTCACTTATTATTGTAATAATTTTGGAAACATCAACGCCTATAATAGAGAGAAAAATCTTAATTATCGCAAAACATATTGTTGTCGTTCTCAATAAAAATAAAGCAAAAAATTTAATCTTAACTGAATTAAAAATTAAACACACACCAGTTTCCTCAACCACTGATAATAAATCATTAACTTTTTCTTTTGATCTGCCTGATACGCCCCATGTAATTTTATTGTACAGTGGGTGTTTATTAAAAGCTGCTAATTGTTCAACGACATGTTTACCAGTAAAACCCGTAGAACCAATCACAATAATATCGACTTTATTCATTTTAAAAGTATAAACCAATATGTTTTCACAACACTAAACTGTTATACTCCGTGCGCACACCTGCGTGCTTGGTCTGATATAAACATAAAACAACTAAGAATAAAGCAAAAGGCAAAGACCTTCGGCATACTTAAAGGTCGTTTCGCTTATGAAACATAATTAGGGACGATCAAAATAAAAATATTGACCGTCTTTAAACACAAATAAAATATTAAAATAAAAGCACAATGTAAATAGGTGATAAATACTTATACACATTTTGCTAAGTAAAATGATACAGAAGACTGATAAGTTTTTGGAAAGGTCTAATGCTAATAAAGGGTTGTAAAATAAGTGTTGTTAATTATTTTCCCTTCTAAAGAATTACTCGCATGTACTACATACCTGTAGCTATTATCGGACGCAGGGCCCATATATACCTAACAGTTCCAACGATGTTTGAAGACTGAGCACTATCAAAGCTGTGTATCCTGTGCTGTGGCTCCAATGATCGAAAACTACTTTAATTTTTACCTCAAAAGAAATAATAAAACTCGCGTCCAATCGGTGTATGTACCTTCAAAAGGTGAAGGGCGTTATGAAGGACCTCCGATAGCTGGGAAACTAGTCTGGAAATCGGAAATTTTACACGAAGCTGGGTTGCTTTAGATCATTCAATATAGCCCTGTAGCTGCGGGCATACGAATACGCAATAGCGCTAATTTATCCTCTGCTTTTCATACAAGTTAACTAAAAGTAATTTAATAGACTAAAAACAAGTTAATCTAAAGGTATTTTGGGTTGATTACATTACTTTGATTACAGAGTAAGGTAAACCCAGAAATGTGTACGATAGAGGAGTTGTCACATTGAAAGTTCTAAGAAAATCATAAAACGGGTTCCCAATAATTTTGTTGTTGTTCGCAGTAGTCTCCGTTCCTCTCTATACATCGTCGCATTCGATGGAGCCAACGAGAAAAGCAGTGGGCTCATTCTTCATTAACTAGCGCAACTTCGGGGCTCGTAAAGTCAATACCTCGAAGTTCATTTTTTATTCTTGGAAATACATACACAATTACTGTGGTAGGGCCACGCTACAGTGTGCAACAACACGAATGGGCAGGTCCGTCCGGGTTAGTACAACAACCTCACAGAAGACCGGCGTGAAGTAGTTATGTTATGTGCGGTGCGGGGCGATTTGGAAACTCCCGCGTTTTGTACATGTCCCGATAGGATAGTCCATACCAGTTTATCCTATCCTATCCTATCATAACTCTTATCTCGACACCTGCCATAATAAAATATTCAATTGTTCGTATCACGGAGTGCGCTAAAGCGTTGTCGTGGTCAAGAAGCATCCTCCTTTTCCAAGCCACCAGGCAAACAGTTAACATACCTGTCTGCAGTAACTGTCCTCCCATCTTCCAGCACAACTGTCCCGAAATAACCTTTCCGAGTATAAAACGAGACAATAATCATTTTAGGGTTCCGTACCCAAAGGGTAAAACGGGACCCTATTTCTAAGACTCCGCTGACTGTCCGTCCGTTCCGTCTGTCACCAGGCTGTATCTCATGCTCCGTGATAGTTAGACAATTGAAATTTTCACAGATGATGTATCTCGGCTCCCAAACAACAGACATGATTTATTGCCGTTTTATTGATAATGGTACAGAACCATTTGTGCGTGAGTTTAACTCGCACTTGGCCGGTTTTTTTCATAATCTACCCTTATTTATTTTAGTTAGCCGATCCTCAAAAAGAAACACTCACTGAGCAGATTGTGTTTCGGGTTCTTACCAATATATCGTGCTTGCTATGGGGCTTCGTTTTGTTATTGGATAAGACTACAATGAACGTTATTGGGTAAAACTACATGGACCGAATTTTCGCGTGTTATATACATATCGAGATGTAACACGACTTTTGTAATTGCAGTATTAGTATAGTATTCCTACTGATTGTTGAGTGCTGAGGTAGATGCCGCCCTCGATGTGATCTGATCTGACGACTTGCATCTTGCATCCTATGTTCAAGACCAGCATCTGATGGTTATGATCTACGTTTGAACGCAGCACGGAGAAGCACCGGCGCCTTTCACTGGAAATCCCTGATTTTCCCACTTTTTTCACCGAGAGAATTTTAATGAATACAAGCCCTCACATAACCCCGTCTTCCCAAAAGATAGAATACCTTTGAAAGATATCGCCCGGATACAAGCAAATATCTTTCAGGTATTTTCAATGACATGGTGATAAATTGGAGTGTAGTTATATGCGTAAAAATCATTATTAACTTGCACATTTTATAAATTACATATACAATGTAACATTTTGGCATTTCTCTTTTTCTTGATCTAATATTAAAAGCCCCATATCATTGAAATATTAAGTATCATCTATTTCTTTCTTTCATCAAAATGCGATTTCACGGCAAAATTTCGATACTAATAAAAGACACGGTTATCTTTTTTAAAACTGTTATTTGCTTCTTATTATAAAAAATAAAATAAAACAAAATTACATGAAACATTAAGTTAGGGTTGTGGTGATACATATAGAATACTTTAAAATTAATCTTAAGAACTGTATTGAATTCATAGTTTAAACAAAAAACTTTAATAAAGTTAATACTTAATTACACTACAATATATTCTTTTGAATGTATATTTACTACAAATTACGAATTTTGATTACGAATTGAATTTGACAAAGCAAGTTATGAATTCCATATTTAGTCAAAGTGTTTCTTTGCAACCCTGTACTCAACAATAAGACATATCACAATTAAGCAAATTTTGCATATTTTTATTATTGCCAATAAAATCATACTATTTAATACATATCTCATAATTCTTTTATGTCATAATTCTACTTCTTTTTGATCTCAACAAAGACAAAGACTTGAAATTTATATTAAGAACCTTTTGTTTCAAGGTTTTATGGAAATTTACATAATAATCTTACTCAAATATCAATTTCACATATGACAAATGGCTATTATTTGTAACATTAAACTTTTGTGTAACCATAACATACTATCTCTTCTTAAGAATAAATTTTATAACATATGAAGCCAATAAAACATTTTTTACGTTCATTTATATTGAAAGTTGTATAACTTGTTGGTGCAATAACATTAATTTGTCTATCTACTAAAACACATATATGAAGCAATAGGTGTTCCTTTCACAAACATTCGATGAAGTGCCAAGCGTAAATTTGATTTGATTAAGAAATAAGCAATGGCATATTGTTTCAGATCATATTCTAAAATGTTATATTTATAATTTTTTCTGTATCGTATTTGAAAAGCCACAACAATATATCTTTAAAATTAACCCTCTTGGCCAAAGTCTTCCATAAACTTCTTAAGTTTGATCATATCATCATCATTAACAGTTGGCTTTGATGTTGCCAAGGATCTCAACATATCAGACATAGTAACTGGTGGCTCTCCTAACTTATCACTAGGTACATCCATCCAAGTCATTTCAACTGCCCCTGGGTCACCGGGAGAACAAGGAGTGAGAAGATCATTCACTATTACATCGGGATCAGTTGGACTTGGTCCAGACACTTTCTTGAAGTGAGTGGCTGATTGTACTTTACGTACAGGCTGCATCAAAGCATCTCGGACAACAATACTTATGTCAGCCCCAGAGTAGCCATCTGTTTTAGCAGCTAAAACTTTTAAGTCTTGCTCTGATAATTGATGCCTGGTGTTTCCAAGATGCAGCTTAAACATATCCAATCTAGCATGCTCTTCAGGTAGGGCAATGTAAATACGTTTTTCAAATCGCCTTCTGATAGCAGCATCAAGAACCCAAGGTATATTTGTTGCTCCAAGTACTAATATACCATCCATATCATTGCCAACACCTTGCATCTGGACAAGGAATTCAGTCTTTATCCGCCTAGCAGATTCAGACTCATTATCTGAGCGAGATGAACAAAGGGAATCTATTTCATCTATAAATATGATACTTGGTTTATGTTGTCGAGCGAGATCAAACAAATTTCTTACTAACTTCTCTGATTCACCAAGCCATTTAGAAACAAGATCAGAAGATGACACAGAAAAGAATGTAGAATTGTTGGCTTCAGTAGCAACAGCCTTTGCTAAATATGATTTACCAGTACCTGGTGGACCAAACAATAAGATACCCTTCCAAGGTATCCTTTTACCTGTAAATAGATGAGGAAATTTTATAGGAAGTATAACTGCCTCCTTCAATGCTTCCTTTGCTCCTTCGAGGCCAGCTACATCACTCCATTTGACATGCGGCTTCTCAACCACTATGGCACCTTCCAGTTTCCCTTGTAGCTTCTTCTTCTCAGGATCATCAGAATCACTATCACTGTCACTTTTTTTGTCTTCACTCTTTGAATTTGATTCTCCATCCTTGACAGGCTTTTTCTTACGATCCTTCTTAAGGTATTCCTTTAATTTCTCCGCCCTATCCAGATACTGCAAACATTTAGCTCGAATACTCTCCTTGGCTCTTTCACCTTGAGCCTCATATTTTACAGCATGAAGAAAATATTCAACCCCATGTTCATACAACCTTAATGCTTCTTCATAATTTTTATTTTTATCTTCTTCGGTTGCTTTTGTTACTAGGTCAATGGCCTTTTGTAGGGTATTAGATGATGCCATTCTTTAAATTAAATTATATATTAACCTGAAAAAAAATACATGTTTTCTTTAAAATACCTTTCAAAATATGTATTTTGAGTTATGTTGACATGGAATAACCTTCTTTTAATAATTAAATGTTAATAAAACAAAAAATATTTAGAATATTGAGAATTTTTTTTTTTCACAAATCCATATTATAATCCCCTTTCTTTATACACCTCCACCACATTTTACCATGATTTCTCATAATGCACTGGGTTGACTGGTAGAGAATGCCAATAGGCATTAAGTCTGCTCTTTGTAACCTTTTTTAAGGTGTTTCAATAAGTAATAAATAAATAAATACTAACTAAATTAAAAATTATATACCAAATGGAGGCCAAGGGGTATGAAGCTAAGAAAACTAGTAAGTTTCATTTACTTTAAAATTGTAGACTAGGTACTTTTACCTTTATAGTATAATTATCTTACCACGGATTACATTAAAACTAAGAAGGAAAATGACTCATTAAAATATACATACAAATATTAGTAATATTGTAATTATCACTTTCATGTAAAACAATGTGTAAAAATATGTTTGTATTAGATGTGTTCTTATTTCAAGAAATTAATATTTTGATTGCCGTTATAAAAACAAAAATAAGATTGACGCGACCCAACTAAAGAGTTCACGGATAATCCATGACATATTTGTAGTAATACGTCATTGCTTACAATTAATCACCAATCAGCTTAACTTACCATTCGTTTGAATATCTTCACAATATTTAAAGAAACAGTAATATCTTTATGCAGTTTATATTAACGTAAATCGTAATCTTTACTATCTTATTTATAATTTTTAGTATGGATGTTTGATTTTCCTGTCAAATTCACGAATGTAATGTAGTGTTACTATATGTAAAAAAATTTGACATTAGGTACTGCATTTACTTTTATTTTTTCTATGTGAATGTATTATGCTGCTGTCCCAGAGGCTTTGTCAGCTTCGTCTGAAGAGGTGTACATTTTTTTTAGGGAAAAAGAGGCAAACGAGCAGGGGGCTGATGGTAAGTGATCACCTCCGCCCATGAATATCCAAAGGTAGGGCCCACGAAGTCTCAGGCGGAGCAACATTGCGCCACTCGCTAGATATCCGCGACCCGTTAATTAATAAAAGGTGGTTAATTGGAATAACGACGGGTATGACATAATCTAAGGATCCTTCAAAGGAACATATATAAGTTATAAGGGTGAACTTGCTATTTACGAAAATTAAATCACGAAAACAATTATTTTACAAAAACAAAATTCCTTTTTATATGAGAACTTATCAAGCTAGTTTGCTGGTCACGTGATGTTAAGTGTTTTTTTTTTTTTTTGGATTTTATGGCCCGGTATCAAGGACCTTTAGGCCAATGATGTTAAGTGTGTTGATTGGTAATCTCAGATTAGACAAATGCTCTTTTGATGTCAACTCTGACAAATGTAAACACATTTCAAGTGACATTTTACCACAGTCACTCACTTGTTTTGCCTTCCCGAAACCCCTCCACTAAAACTTTATGGTATGGTATTAATTATTAAAGTTCAAATTGACTTTTAAGTATTATTACGAATCTTTTATACGGGAATATACAAGTGTTGTATTTAGTCTTTTTCAGGCATTTTTTTTTAATTTTTCTCTCCGTAAGAACCATCTTCCTACTTCAAGGAATATTATAAAAAAAGAGTTAGCGAAATCGGTCCAGCCGTTCACGCGTGATGGCGTGACCAAGGGAAATAGGGATTCATTTATATATATATTTTTTTTTAAATACACCACGGTAGTTCGTTTTGCACAACGATCACGGCGAAATCAACATATTGCCACCAACTACTAATAACATAGTCGACAGTACAAAAATTTATGTAGTCACAGACTGAAAGCACAAGTATTAATCATCAAAAGTCAAGAAATTAAAGGTAGATAAGCCAACTTGAAGTTGTAATGTAGTTCTTGGTTTTAATAAAAGTTTTAGAAAATTAATGTCAAAGATATAAAAAATAATCTTATATTCTTTCAGACACTTTGTATTAATATCTAGATACAAAATGACTGATTAAAGTAAAGAAACAGCCTGTACATGTCCCACAGCTGGCCAAAGGCCTTCTCTGTACACAGTGTATCAGGGCATAGTCCATCACGCTGCCCCACTGCGGATTGGCGGACATCACATATCTTCGAAATATTTTTAGAATTTTTTTTTTTTTAATTTATTTAATCCAGTAATAAAGTACAATAACATAAATTATTCCCTGCCAAACTGTGATGCAGTTTGTCGGCAGCAGTTCTCGTGAATAGTTACATCGATGTACTTCAACCTTACTAATATGACACCTATGTATAATATATATATATATGTCTATGTATGATATGTATATACATCTAAATACAATTTCTTAATTATAAGTACCTATAATATATAAGTTTATCAATTTATAGTATGTTAGAATAAAATAAAATAAATATCAATTTACTTGGTTCCGTGTGAGTGTGTGTTATTATGTTTGTGCGTGTATGTATATGTGTGTGTGTGTGTGTGTACTTGTGTGTGACACTTCAGAGTTGACTAATTACGGACATAGCAATATTTCCATAGATACAAAAGTACTCTGTGGGACATAGGGATAGGTAATGTTTTATTAATTTGTTTTTCAGCTCATTTTTATTTTTTGCTTCTAAATAAGTGTTACGTGGTAATTCATTAATTAGGACCGGTGCAATCCAGCGTCGTTCCCGCTTACCATATACATTTTTTACTCTAGGAATTACAAGACTTGGCTTTCTTGTTGAGCGAATTGGATATATATAATCCTTTTCTTGCCTATACTGATTGTTGTTAATTTGCTCACATAAGATGTGCAGTTTTACTTTAAAATCTACCGGCAGAACTTTACATATCTTAAACAGCCTTTCATATTCGTGATTGAGTGAATTTTTAACCTTTTTATTAACTAATAACTTTAATAATCTTATTTGTTAGTTTTTTATTTTATTTAAGTACGTAGGAAAAGCGAGACCGTAAGCCCCCAATCCGTATGATATAATTGCATCGGCCAATGGATGATAAAGTAGGTACATAACACCTGTACTTACGATAAATTTTAAGTGTTGCAATTTTCCAAGAATAGACCGCAATTTGTTACATACATAATCAATGTGTAACCCCCAATTACAACGATTGTCAACATTTAGCCCCAGATAAAATACGTAGGTTTCCTCAAGATGTTTTCCTTTAACAGTGAGCATAAAAGGAAGGACTTAGAATTCTCTGATTTGATTAAGATTTTTTTGCATTAGATAAATATTAGCTCATTGAACTATCGAGGAAAGTAAATACTATAAATAAATAACAGTAAACATTATTAATATAGACTTAAAATTCGTAGGAAAAAAAATGGTTGCTGCTGCTAGGATTTGAACCTGCGTTCTCAGGGTTACGCCCCGACGTTCTAGCCACTGAACTAAATGGCATATCTTCACACTGACGAAAATCCAACCTCTTTAATTATCCAATTTGTTTTATTGCATTTTAAGCAATCCTTAGATCATGTTTCCTTGTCAGTAAACAACCATTTTTTCATAGACATATTGACAGCATAGCTAGAATTTCTTTTTTAATTATATAATTTTTTAGTGCGATTCTCTGCACTTATGACGAAATGTAAATGTTAAGTTTTTCACCACAACAAGGATTTGAGCTTGAGTTGACACCTACACTAACCGACCATCGACATCCTCCTCATGTAAAAATCTAAGTCGTATCCACAAAACTAAGAAATCCTCAAGCTTATTTTTTTATTAATTGAATTTAATAATTTAAAATTATAACATTTGCTTATACTAAAGTTGTTTTGTATAATTTAAATTTCCCTACATATTTTTTCACTTCTTCTTTCGGATAGGGCTTAAGGGCCAAACATGTGGGTATGTCTTCAGGCTGTTCAATCCACAGTTTATGATCTATATGGTTATGTTTCAATTTTTCAGCAACTTTTCTAAGTGACTCCTCATTTGGGACCTGAAAATACAATTGTTAATAAATGTTGGGATGTTAAGAAAATCTACCATTTAATTGCGTACAAAATTACTTTTACTCTACAAAATTTTTTTTTTTCAATACTTTTATGAAAACTAAAATTTTCATGTTTGAAAATTTAGTGATACAAGATTCATAGAAACATAATTATTTATAAGTTAAGATTAATTAGGTTCAACATTTCAATCTGATAGGTTGGGTTCATATGGTGTACATTTTTATATAGTAAGGAATGATAAGGAATGAATAATGGGATGGTAAAAACTAGCTAGATATATAGAATACAAACATAACTAATCTTATATGTGAAAGATTTAGAAACTTTACACAGACTGATGTTAATGATAATTAAAAGCTAGGCGTTAGGAAAATTTGTTAACGATTCTTTTAACTTACCTCTAATACAACTTTGTGCATACTATCCAGATCATTTAAATAGTTAATAGTATATTCATCCTCTCTAAATATATGTAACGCTGCCGAAGAGGCGTGACACGCCTGAGCTACTAATGCTCCTATTGACCATCCCAAATCCTTCAGTAAATCGCTACGAAGTAAAACATATTGAACAATAGTATTTGTCATTATAAAAATAGTTTTCCGCAACAATTAATATCCTAAAAGTTTTCTTATAATAAAATTATTTTAGTACATCGTCTAAGAGCTACTTAGGTGTAAGTTACAAAGTCTAAAATTTTTAATTTCCGTAAGTTAATATTACACCATTAATTAACATTACTTATGTTAAACTGAAAAATTGAAAATTGGGACGATCGACGATTTAAAGAACCAATCACAATTACGATTTACGATTACATTTATTTACATCCAGTCATCCATAGAGTCTGCTTTCAAACTTTCAATGTCAAAGTTAAGTCAAAGTAGCAGGGCTGGATTTGGATACGATGGAAAAAATTTAGTACAAAATACAAAGGATCCTTAATTTATTTATATTTAAAAAAAATATAGTACACTGTATTATTTTTATATTAACATATTCATAAATTTACTCTTCTTTCAAGTTTATCACTTCTTCAACATTAGTTTCATCCCTAGAAATAAATCTTAAAAATAACGTATTCTCAGTAAGAATAAAATCAGTACAACAGTTTGATATCTTGAAGGTCACAAGAGTCAAGGTCAAGAATAGAATCTGTATAGATATAACATAATAAATATTAAATAAGTGTATCTATCGGCGCACGGGTGTCGTAAGTATTTAGACGATCGCGTGGTTTTATGTCATATGTTCCCCCTCATCTTACATCAGAAGAGGGGATGAGCCAACGCCAACCAATATCGGCCTCATCCACTGGCATATTGGACATAATGTGTGACACGATGATGCAGATGTCTCAAGAAAACCGAGCCACCCTTATGGAAATGATGAGCTTGTTACGACTTGAACATTCACGGGTCCGCTTTTCTGACGACTATTTCCCCAGCTTCGACCCTGACAAAGGAATGGATGTAAAAGAATTGGTGAAGCTTATTTTCCGTACGCAAAAGGAATACCAATTAAAAGATCATGCAGTACGTCTTAAAGCAGCAAGCGTTTTAAAAAGAAGAAACCAATCTTGGGCCGATGATTGTTTAAAACTAAACTACATACTGGAAAGAAAGGAAGTGTACCTCCACAGCTGCTTAACATTATAGACGATGAAAACGAACGAGTAAATCTAGAAAGTATGAGAGATGTTATGATGGGAAGAATGACCGAGCAGTCTGAAAAAGATAAAAAAGGTATTATAGTGGGAAAGCCAAAGTACAAAGGTTCGAGAGGGATGAATATCTTATATTAAAAGAAATTCCGAGGTTAGGCATGAAGCTAAGTCAAGAATATGACGGGCCTTATGAAATCAAAAAAAAAAAGATTCAGATACGAGATACTTCGAATCAATAAACATGGTCGTTTTCGGAAATTTTGTTACGAGAACTTAGGTAGTGCCCCAAAATTTGCAATACAAAGTAACATAGCCGTATCGGCGATGAATAAAAAGATTAGTGACTTTTACGATATGATTAACATATAAAAATAAAAACTAATGTAATACAAACAATAATAAAATACTACGATAGTGAATACACGTCATTCTCAAAATATGAATATAAAAATTGTAACTGATTTTTAACCGTCTACAAAAGGAAGAAGGTTTATTATATACATTTTCTTACGTATGTTCGCGCATAACTCAGTCATATTAATAACATTATTACAGACATAGGTCTCAATATCTCGACTTCTAAAAGTGAAATTTGCATATTTAAAAGGGGGTACAAAAGAGAAACTATCAACCTATACATCGTTGGTTCGGCTTTGGATGTTGTAGAGAGTTACCAATATCTCGGACTATGGCTTGATTTTAATCTCAATTGGAGAAAACATATTAATGAATTAGCAGAAAAAACTCTAAAACTGGTTAATATTTTTAAAATGCTAGCAGGCCCTGGGTGGGGTGTTCACCCTTCACACCTCAGACGTCTTTATATCGCTACTATCAGAAGTCGCATAGACTATGGATGCTTCCTGTATGGTAACAGTAGTAGAACACAATTAATAAAATTAGACCGTATTCAAATCGTGCGTCTTAGGATAATTGGCGGCTTCATAAAAACCATTCCAATACAAATTATGGAAAATGAGCTATGTGTTGCACCTCTGTTCATTCGGCGACAACATCTAGGCAGTAAATTTTGGTTAAAGTGCAAATCATTCAAAAATAATATCACTATTGGCATTATAGAAAAGCTATCAGCTCTATGCCAGCTTCCATATTGGAATAAAAAGCTGAAGCCCACGTTGGTAACAATTAATGAATTCCTAAAAAATGAAAAAATCTATATTAGTGACAATTTAGAGATGTTTAAGTTATCTACCTCACCCATCAGCAATGTGGATTTGGACAATAATATTAAAACGAACATTGATGACATTAATAAGAAAAATTACGACTACCAGCAACTGAGAGGTATATGTGAGAGCTAATTATTGGATAAATACACACAATACTATAAAATCTTTACGGATGCGTCAATAAAAGACAATGAAATTGGTGCCGCTTTTTATGACCCGGTCACTAAAAGATCTATGAAATTCAGAATAACTCGCAGGATTTCAATAATGCATGCTGAACTGATAGCGCTTTTAGAAGCTTTGCATTACATAGATTCTATAACACAAACTAATTTCTTAATAGTAACGGATTCTCGTAGTGCCTTACAGTTACTCAAACGTTGTACATCTACTATACGTGGTCTACCTATTGCATACAATATAATAGAAACAATTTGTAAACTTAAAACAATCAATAAACATGTTGTATTGCAATGGGTCCCATCCCATGTTGGTATAATAGGCAATGAAATCGTCGATCAGTTGGCCAACGAAGCATCAAACAGCGGAGAAAGCTACTCATGTGATCCATTTTATAAAGAAATGTACTATAAAATTAAACAGAACTGTTTTAGCACTTGGCAAGAATATTTCAATGAACGTAGTCGCAGTAAAGGAATATATGCTACGATTCAACCTAACTATTTAAAACATACGTGGATTGACAATACCAACATGGGACGACAAACAATCATAACTGCTCTCCGACTTCGCTCTGGGCACATCCCTTTGAACAAATTCGCTTTTTTGATGGGACAAGCACAATCCCAGAACTGTACAATCTGCAATACAAGTGAAGATGTATACCATGCAATAATGGAATGCTCCCGTAGCGAACCGGAGAGAAGAGATCTTTGTAATTTAGTTCATAATTTTTTCGAAACTGGAGTATGTAATACAGTCCTTGCAAATCCATCATCGGATTCTGCCAGGTTACTTTATAGAATTGTTAACTTAGGAATTTTGAACTGAATTTTGAATTGTGAACTTAGGAATAAGACGCAGAGGTGGTTTAAATTGATCTATGTAAATCCTATTTTATTTTTGTTTTTTGTAATCTTGCGAACACAATGAGGGTGGCATAATCTGTAAAGATTAAACCCTTTTTAAAAATAAAGAGAAAAAAAAACTCCGTCATATGCAGCGTGTTGTTACAACCGCGACAACAAATGAACACACATATAGAGGATAACTTTTTAAAATTGTATTAAACATTTACATTCATTAAACATCAATATTTACCGGGTTATTAAATTTTCCAAAACAAACGATTTTAGAACATCCTTACGTATAAAACGGTAACGTAAAGTTCATTTGTAAAGGTCACAAAGCCTATGATTGGGTTGAATGAATTTGAAAGAGATAAAACAAGGAGAGATTTGTGGTGCGACGCTGCGGCAACGAATGAAAAAGTGTCCGAATGTATGAATTAGTTAGTTGTAGTTGTATAGTGTGTTACAAATTTTGTTTCTTTTTTATTTAATGAGCTTGTTTTAAAAAATATATTTTTTTTAATTGTGGATTTTTTTGACGTTTTACATTTTTTTTTATGATTATTGGCAAGTAGCGTTAGACGTGTGTTAATTTATTGTCGCGGTTGTAACGACACGCTTTGCAGAATAGACAGATTTGCAAAATTGCTTTAGCATTGTTTTTGAACAGTCGATAATACCGCGAAGTGCTCAACTCAGACTCACATTAATGACAGTGACATTTAACTCCACAAGATATTGTTTTGAGAAACTGCCGCTAACTCGTGCTAAATACTTAAACAGTTCTAATGCAACTGTCTTATTTTTTTTAAACAACAGTGGTCCTAAAACAAAATATGGCTTCTGGTTTGGAGAACTATATTAATCAAACAGTATCTGTGATCACATCCGATGGGCGAAATTTTATAGGAACGTTAAAAGGCTTTGATCAAACGATTAACATTATATTGGATGAGTCCCATGAACGAGTGTTTTCATCATCAACTGGAGTAGCACAAGTAGTCCTAGGACTTCATATAATCAGAGGCGATAATGTTGCAATTGTCGGGCAAATAGATGAATCAATTGATAGCAGACTAGATCTTGGTAACATCAAAGCAGAACCGTTAGGAGCTATTATACATTAATGTAAATAAGGTTTTAATAAAGTAAGTTATTTTATAATTGATTTTTATTATCACAAAATATTAAGATCAGCTTGGTGAGTATAAATATGGCCTTTTGACATATTATAGTAGAATCTGTCACTCCTTACTGTGAAGTGTCCTTTTGGTATATAGTAGAAATATGGCTTTTTGTAATTGTCTTGTGTTTTTTCTTACTTAAAGTATATCTTTGTAATAACACTCGCTGAAGCCGATATAAATGTTAAAAAGTTATCTGAAAACTGAATTTTAATTTTTATGTATAAGATAAATTAAGGACCCAATAAAACAAATAGAAAACAGTTACTCTCACATTTATTCTTTAAATTTTTTTAGTTACAATATGTACATTTATTTCTATGAATGAGAAAAATATTAAGTGGCCTTTAGGTAGAGTACTAAAAATGTAATCTATCTAAGATATTCTCACAATACTATAAACAACTGAACCCATTAGTGAAAAATATATCTTTGACATGTCAGCAATGCAATATAATTAAGGTATCTTAATTTTATTTACAAAAATATTGAATGTCCTGTAACTTTGTAGTATCATTAATGTCAAAAACTAACCAAAATTGATTTACTTATTTGCTCAATTAGTTTGTAATTACAACGCACAGTAAGTTATCTTAAAAATTTTTTGGCTTCATCCTTCTGTAATATGATTACAAGAAAAATCTTTTAAATTTATATGTATTTATGTATCACCACAATACAATATGTTGAATGTGGTCGATTTTTTACATTCAAGAGCTTAAAACAAACCTATATTGAATAAAGAAAATTTTGAATCTTAAATCACCATATAATTGATATATAATAACATAAGCTTAAAGCAAATGCCAAACTTTTGAGATTGACAATATTGACTACAGAAATTTGATAGTTATTTTACAATTTGTTTTTAAATTCACTAAGTGTTCTTTATCCAACTTTACACACTAATTTCTTGATTATGAGTAGTCATTGCTTTTAGTTGGATTACCCAATAAAATAATTTCTTGGTGTCTGTAAACAAAAAATATATATTATATGCAAAATCTTATAATCGCCCATAGTCTCTTTATATTGACAAAGTGGATATTGAGACTATCTCTTGTGTCTGAAGATGCAGGTTCAACCCCCATTAAAGGAAAAATATTGTCTCTGTAAATAGTATTTTAATAATTATTATGTATTGTATGTTTATCACTAAGCACCCATAGAGCAAGATTTTCTTAGTTTCGGGTTAACTAATGTTGCATAAAAATATGTCTTGAAATGTTTATTTATTACTTTAAAAGTCAGGAGGCGAAAAATGTATTTATTTTTGGTATTTTAAGTTAAAGCAATTAAATTCTTTTCATATAAAAAAATGTTATATTAATCTCGTAGTTTTAATCTATATCTTATGCAAATATAACTTTTTCTTGAAGCGTGATGTTTGCCGATCTAATTTTATCATTTAAACAAGGACTATCCACAAATGTTTATAATTTTTAACTAATAATACCTGGTGTTAAACAGTATTTGCTTAGTTTTAATAAAACTGCTTCTGAATACAGAAAATATTAAATATATGATGATCTGGAGTTTTAAATTTGTACATTCATAGTTATTTACTATTAATCTCTAACTACCATAACTGATGACACATGTTTTACATGAAGTTTAGTGCTTTTAATATTTAGTTGAATAGGAAAGTAACATCTAAAACTACAAAAATTAAGAATTATTTTTTACAAATTGTTTATACCATTCCTAGTATCCAATTTAAATATAGTTACACTATACAAGACTCATGCTATTCACTTTTTAGTATTGTTACTTCTATTCCTTCTCTGAAATGGAAAGCATACACATGAAAATGCAAATTAAAAATGCAAATAAGAGTAAGAAATTTGGCTGCATGTCTCCATCATGCAAAATATTGAGTCATAATTTAACTATACACAAAAACAAAAAAAAAATAGAGAAATGTCATGCAGGAGTTAATTGAAAATTGAAAACAAACTTTTGCAATTAAGTAATTACTTACATGAAAATTATTTACCTTTGTAAATTTTCTTTATATTTCTGTGTGTTGTATTTTTGAAAGAATTGTTTCCCATATTCAAATGTTGCGATCATGATAGCACAAGCAGGAGCAACTTTAAATATTCTAGGTAATAGACCTGTAAATAGTCCCCTAACACCGTGATTCCTGTAAATGTTTTTCACTATATTCTGGATATTTGAGGCTCTCTGCTGAACTTTTCCATCTGTTAAAAAGATAAATATTATATCGCAATTGTACCCTTACTACTAAAGATTATATGGCATTACTGAAGAACATCACTAAGAGCCGAATGCTCGGTTTCACCATTGGTGAAAGTTTTTTAGGTGTCCCTTAAAGTTAGGGAACATTGGTGAAAACGGGGATCATTATAAGGATTGGAATTAAAATGAGTACATTTTTTTAACAAACAAAAATGCACTCCAAATATCTCACTATACAGGGAGGCTTTTCTACAGGTGCCCAAATTCACACAGGCGGTTCAGACTCGGTAGAATAATCGTTTATTGAAATAAAAACAAATCTTTTTTTTTTTCAAAAAGTTGCCATTCCATTCCTTATAAAACAGAACTTGTTGACAATGCGATAGTTATTCATAAATGCGTCGTATACTTTTGAAACGAACTTGTGTGCGTGTTAGTTATGAATGATCGCGCGCGTAAAATAAATGAGTTGCCCATAAATCACGCACTTTTCGAGATAAGTTCAAATTAATATATTTAATTAATTATGAGTGATTTTAAATATTTATCATTTTTTATATAACATTATTTATGTCTAGAATTTAAAAAAAATGGATACACTTAAAAAAGCCTCCCTGTATATTTTAAAATCTGTTCATAAATTATGGAGCTTGGAGATAAAAAAAAAAATAACATTGGAAACCTCCTTTTTGAAGTCTATGGAATAGTTACCTGAAACTGATTTATAATGATTCAGTTTTTTTTATCTAATCTAAATCTACAAGTTATTCACTTATTGAAACTCTTATCCTAATCACATAATTTATACAAACATGTATAAAACACATCTTTACGTAATTTATATTTTCTCAATATTTTAATAAATGTTCATTGTAGTATCCAATTGTTTAAAATATTTCTTTATAGTGCTATTTTAAATGTTACTAACTGCCATTTAGTATTTTAAGGAAATGATTATCTAACTCCCAGTTAATGTAATTAGAGCCGTGATAGCTCAGTGTCCGGGCGCTCGCCTTTAATTCAATATACTCGAGCAACCTGAGTTTGATCCCCGGTGCCGGCACCAATGAAGTTTTAAGTGCTGACTTATCACGTGCTCCGCGGTGAAGGAAAACATCGTGAGGAAACCTGCACATTTTCGAAATAATAACAAAAAAATATATATATTTCGAAGATATGTGAAGTCCGCCAGTCCGCAGTGGGGCCGCGTGGTGGACTATGCCCTGATACCCTCTGTATAGAGGAGGCCTTTGCCCAGCAGTGGGACATGAATAGGCTGTTACTTTACTTTACTTTTTACTTTATTTTGCAAAGATATAATGGCGCAAAAAACCTTTAACATATATTAAGCTAATAGAAGCTTATCTTCACATTACTAAAGCATTAAAATTTTGGTATTATTAAAACTACTAAAGTTCATATAATTTGTGAAAGTATATGTACGAATATGCATGGATTTGCATTAAGAAGAAAAAAAAATGGTACCTATGTAAATCTCTTTTTCTCCTAGTTCAATTTGCTGATGTGTTTTAACCACATCAAATGGTAGAGTCACAAATGCAGCAATCTGAAACCAACATTACAATCTTTAGAAACATGTAAAATCAGTTAAATGATGCAATGTTTTACAACATGCTATAGAAGTTAGTCTAGGGATGTTATTTTTAATTCTATACAGCGTGTCTTTACAATCGCGACAATAAATGAACACATATATAGAGGATAACTTTTTAAAATTGTATTAAACATCAATATTAACAGAGTTATTAAATTTTCCAAAACAAAGAATTTTAGAACACCCTTACGTATAAAACTGTAACGTAAAGTTCATTTGTAAAGGTCACAAAGCATATGAATGGGTTCAATGAATTTAAAAGAGACAAAACATACTGTTAGAAGGAAAGGCTTGTAATGCGACGCTGTGGCAACAAATGAAAAAGTCTCTGCTCTGAATGTATGAATCAGTCAGTTGTAGTTGTGTAGGTGTTACAAATTTTGTTTCTTTTTTACTTAATTAGTTTGTTTGAAAAATTTTTTTTTTAATTATGCATTTTTTTAACGTTAATATTTTTTATGATATTTTTATGATTATTACGTTAATATTTTTTCACGTTGTATATATATATATACACCATTATCATTCAACTCATTCATATGCTTTGTGACCTTTACAAATGAACTTTACGTTACAGTTTTATACGTAAGGCTGTTCTAAAATTCTTTGTTTTGGAAAATTTACTAACTCTGTAAATATTGATGTTTAAACAATGTAAATGTTTAATACAATTTTAAAAAGTTATCCTCTTTATGTGTGTTCTTATATTGTCGCGATTGTAAAGGCACGCTGTATATAATTATTAATGTAACACATATTTTAATCTGGAACTTCAGGCAATGCACATTTGATATTTTTGATATTTTATTTCTTGGCCATAAAAGCAACCTTTTTATATATTGTTGCAACTTACAGTGCCAGCAACACAACCACAAAAGAAGTTGAACAAAAATGAATTTTTTTCTGAATCTGGTTTATTGAACACTCTCTTAGTGGACTCAAAAGTGGTCCAATATATGCCTGAAAAGTAAAAATAATGTTTTTAAGTCCATTTTCATGTTAATAAATTGTCAATAGATGGCATCATCATACATACCTCAAAGAAATTTTATATGAGATTTGATAAAAAAAATTTACATAATGTATTTCTGATGTTTGAACATAAAATCTAATGAATAATTTTAAAAGAAATTGTTTCAACAAAAACAGCTTTAAAAAATTATGTTAAGAGATATCCGAGAAATTGTTAATGTTAAATTGTAATAAAATTAGAAAAAAGATAGGTAGGTGGTTCATAGGAAATAAAGAGCAGCTTATAAGCATGAAGGAAAAACTTATAATTATTTGGGCACATACCCCAGCATTACTGTTAAACAATAAATTATATGCTACAGTTTGATAATAGTGAAAATGAATATAGGTAACTAATACAAACTATAAACTAATAAAATGTTTAAATTACCTGAAAATGGCACATCTCTAAGTAAAGTTGAACCTAAACCACGAAATAGTCCTCTATATCCTTCATACTTAATGACATGACTCAATGCTGTTCTGATTTCTGAAAAATAGAAATTATTTATCAATCGGTGGTAGGGCCACGCAGCAGCCTCGGTTGTTGCACGAATGGGTAGGCCCGTCCGGGTAAGTACCACGACCCCACAGAAGACTAGCGTAAAGTGGAAGTATGAAATATACTTTTGCGTTTCGTCTGGTAAGTGGAGTAGCCGGAGCCCAATTTTTAAAAGGTTGTCAACGCATTTGTAACCCTCGGGTGTAGCAGATGTCCATGGGCGGCGGTATTCACTTACCATCAGGTGAAACGTCTGCTTGTTTAACAACTTTTCACATTAAAAAAAAAGAAAATGGTACAAGATATATTTTTATTACTAGCAATAAAAACAGTAGCATAGACAGTTACATGTATTTACTTATAACCCAGTATTGTTTTTTAATATTTATAATTTGGTTTACAATATTCTTGACAAATTTTAATTTTAACCATAAAGAATACTATTCATATAGTGCAGTGGTTCATTACCATACCTGAATATGTTAATTTTTTGGATTGCATTTTTGTTCTGATAAGTTCTAAAGGACTAAATAAACTAACAGCAATTGTTCTAGCTGAAGCACCGGCAAATAATGGTATCCACATGGGTTGATTTACTGAAAAACAAAAGTACAGATATTTTTTTCACTGTGTCAACATATCTTGTTTTTTGCAAACCCCACTTTATACACAGTCTATAAGTTTAATACTCATAGGATTTAGCTAATTAATATTTATAATATAAAAGCTGCTGCCCGCGACTATGTCTGCATAGAGAGGTGAAAATTTAAGTTTGTATGTATTTTTGTATGCTGTATCATAATCATATATTTAATACAATGTCAAGACTAATTTATGCAATGAATGTTGTTGCATTCATTAGTCTCTTTTAAATATAGAAGAGTATATACAGCATGTTGTTACCATCACGACAATAAATGAACACATGTCTAACGCTACTTGCCAATAATCATAAAAAAATATTAACATTAAACAAAATCCATATTTAAAAAAATATATTTTTCAAACAAATTAATTAAGTAAAAAAGAAACAAAATTATTAACATCCTAATAAATAGAAAAAAAACTCCTTCAATTTTATAACTTACCAGTTCCAGTTAATTTATTATAAATAGTTTTTGTTTTGTACCGAAGTTGCTCATAGCTAACAAAGTATACAACAGTACATGGTAGAGCTAATACAAGTGTTGGGCTAAGGCCAGACCATAAAGCTGGAACACCTTCTAATTTAGCTATTTTATAAAAGGCATCCTGTAAATACAACATAATTATTGATTTTGGAGTTAAAAATTAAATTAATTCTTAACTGTCACAAGCGTTTAGGCCAAAATTAGGCTATTGTCCGAACATTTCATTGATACATTTTTTTAATGTATGAAGGCCTTAAGCAAGTCAACTATTTTATGTTAAAAATTTATCTATGATCCACCATGTACCATTATTAGGATAAATATTAAATAAGTACCAAACCAGTTAAACTGGTTGACATAATGCATAGTAATTATAACTAAATTATAACACTTCATTATGTAAATTAATTTGATGCCAAATTATACTACAGAAAATTTTATAAAATATCCATTTATTTATGATGTATTTATATTTTAAGCTGTGTTAAATGCTTACATATACAAAGTTACATAAATTCTTTAAATTTTGCTAATATTGACACTGAGTTTTTACAATTTAAAACTGTAAACACATTTTCATTGTGCATTGCTTTTTCTACATAACTTGAAATAGGTTTCATTAATTAGAATATAGTAAAAGCTTTATATGAAAACATAAAAATTTTAGGTGGCTTAAGATTTATATATTTATAAATTATAACTTACGATTGTACCATGAAAATGGACACGTCTAGGTATCCAAGCTGTTTCTCCACAAGGGCAAAGGTGTTCCATCAGTCCATTGCAATACAGGTAGCATTTATTAGAAAGTAATGCTTTTTGCTGAGCTTGCAATCGTATTTTAACTACATCCAATGGTGTCACTTAAACAAGACAATTAAAATGTTATCAAAAGTATGAAAAAAAACACTAAGAATGAAGATTATTCAGAGAATAATTAAAAGAAATAAACAGCCAAATGTAACCTTAAGATGCCACTTTACAGATTTTATTACGAAAAGAAAAGTTGTGGGTTGCGAGCCTTCGTGACACTATGAGATGAATCTGCAGTTATGGAATTCGAATACGGTAAACTTTTAAATGGTCCACAAGATGGTTCATATTAGCAATGTTACGAGTACTTTAAGCACATTACTGGAATACATATATTCTGATAACATTATTAATAATGACGATGGGTATCAAAGAATTATACAATGATTATTTAGGCATTAATAACCTACACAATAATAATTTATGCGGCTTACAACTTACTGAATAGGGATGTTATTAAAGCACCAGAACATGCCGATGCCATTTGTTGTAATGGTGTGATTCGAAATTGGGGGTCGTCTTCACGAATCATGTTTATTATTACTTATATTTACCAGTGTAACAAATACGTTACATTTATTTTCCATGAGCACTCAAGTCATATGTTTTTCGCAATTTTGACGTTTGTGAAAAGGAACACAAAATATACACGAGCTATCAAAAATATTTCATAGATTATACAAAGTGAATTTCCGAATATACCAATTTGCACATTGAAATAAATCGTATTTTTTTAGGGTTTACGATGCTAGCTTTTTGCTAGCTGCTTTCGCAAATTCGTTCGAACTTTCGAAGCGGTCCGTGGTTAGATGACGTGGTGATGTACGAAAAACAAAATAAGTGCACGACCGCTGTAGGCGGGAGATGGAAAATAGGCTAACGAGGGGTGAGACGCGACATGATTCAAGGGTTGATTGACATAATTTTAATAGCAATTTAAATCTTCGGGTTATATGTTTAAAAGTTATATTGAATCAAAATGTATCTTTCTTTCCATATTAGATGTACTTTCCAAACCAATCTGAACCGAATGAGTTATGAATCTGAATCGACAATTTTCCGAATGCATACTAATAGGGCCTAGTAAAACACCCAGTGTGAAAACCTAGTCAATGGTCATATAAATGCGAACCAACACTAGTTGGACTTTGGCTTTGACTGCAATTGATTGAATAATGAGACTATATAGAGGAAAGTAATTAAGTCAAAATTGCAATTTAATTGTGAAACTTAAAATAATCTTACAAAATGTATACAAGTATATATTTGCACAAAATTTCATACATCCGCATAACTTTCGCAAAGTAATTGTTTTCTTACATGAATCATTTGTATAATTTAATTTTCACAAGCAAACAATGTTCTACTTAGATACATTTCAAGATTACATGGCAATTTGGACCGATTTGATTCTTGCAGGTAGGTTCCTTGTAATGATCAACGTAAAGGCCCATATTCTTAGTCAAATTATTAATCTTTCCTTACCTGGGTCGTGGAGATACAGTGGAGCGGACAGGATTGTCGTGTCGTCATTGTGCACCAACGCTTTTGACTCCATTCATGGTTCGTCTGCCAGTGGACCTCTTGCGACAAAGCTGTGAAAGCCACCAGGCTAATTATGAAATACACAACAAAACATTAAATATAAAATATAACAAACTAATAATTTCTGATTATTATTAACTATGTTTTAGCTTTTCACTATTAAGTTCTGTTTTAATGTACATCTCTATTGGATTTTTCTACTAAAAAATCATACTATCACTAACTTATCCAAAGCGAATCGGTAAACTCATCACTACGTCACAGTCAGACGGCACCACGGGCAGAAACAGAAACGGAACGGAATCGACACACATCGCTCCACATGGAGGGCGTCAACGCTATAAAAATATTTTAAAATAATTATTAAAGTATTTGAATAGTGAAACGTACAATTTTCGTGACTTTCAGTAAAGTAGATGAAATATATTTTTTGAAATGTTTTCCTGTGTGCCCAGGTCGATGAAGTAAGTTTCTTTTCGTTTATTTTTGGAGTTTACATAACGTGACACCTGTGTTTTAATCGATTTGTATACAAATTCTAGACTGTCGCTCCCATGAAATAATATTATTCATTTTTAACTTATATATCTTTAAAACTATATTATTCGACACTGACAATAATCGTATTGTAAATACACCATGCGTAAATATTTGCACATATTATTCGGTCTTTGAGATCTGATTGACATGTCTCCAGGAAGTAAATTTAATTTTGTGATCCGTTTTAAGGTCTCGCTTTTAAGGCTTTGTTTTACTATTCCGAAATATTGACTGTAAGTTTATTTTCGCTATCGCTTTCGAAATCGAAATTCTTCATTGTACCTTTTTATTTACCTTTCAAATTTTGTTTATATACAAGTATTGTTTCTTAAGTAGAAAACTTAATTCAGTCATTTTTTCCCGTATGTAAGCTTATTTATTATATTATTATTATAAAAATAAGAATATCAACCACATTAGTTTATACTCAATAATTTATGTAGATTACTTTTATATGTGTTAGGAGAGTTGTAAGAGTTTATAATCTTACAATATTTTTTTATATCATTGTATATTATTTTCTCTTTATTAATATCTTCATGTCACTCATTCTTCTACATGTTAACTGAGAATTGTTTTTTTAGAACTAAATTAAAAGAAAAATGCACTAAAAAGAGACACATTACATAGCACTTGTTATGATAAGTGGGTGCATGCTTTGTAATTAACATCCTTTTATAAGTTTTATGGTTTTAGTGTTAAAAAATTGATGTGTAGTATGGTATAGCAAGGTGGGAACCAAATTTTATTTTTAATATGATTTATCTAATAGCATTATCTAGTATTTCGGTGAGCTATTAGCTGTGATAGATTCATCAATAATTTAAATTACTTACTAAACCATTAAAAACATTCCATTACGCAACATTTACATTTCTTAAATTATCCAAAAGTGATTATACCTAAAAAAAATGATTTTAATGAATAACAAATAGCTTGCCAATTATTTTTTTTTTAAGGTCATAGCTGTTGTAAATATTTCTTTAATTTTCACCAGCTGCAACCTCACCTGTAATTTTTTTATTTACGTTTTACTATGTGAGAATGTGGCAAGCAAGCAGGCTGTTCACCTGATCTTAAGTGATAATCATCACTATTAGACATCTGTAACAATTGTAGGGTTTCAGATGTGTTGCCAATCTTTATAAGAGTGGGTAACTTTTCTATTCAAATGAAAGATAAAAGTATAACACATTCACTTCACGTTGTTCTGTGTGATATGCTGGTTAAATAACTTTGAAATATTTAAATGTTATTTTTTTTTTGCAAAAACTTGCAAATTTTAACTTTAAATTTTTTTCATGATTGACTAATTGTACATAAATTAATTATACATGTATGAATGAAGTTAAATTTTAGTTAACTACTTAAGCACTTAATACGCTTAAACCGGCCATTATTTCCACTTTACAATAATATTCGTTAAAATATTGTTTTGCAAGGCATTGCTTAACTTTTATTAAATAGATCAGATCTGATTACGCAATTGTTGCATGAAATATTGTAGAGAAAGGACTGATTTATGACGAGGAGCAATAGTTGGGTACTCTTTACTCTGATTACTTATGAAATACATGCTAAGAGGAAACGTAACGTATGGTGTCACGCTTTAATCGTGAGCAAAACGCGACCGACCTTAATAATAGACGCAGCGATAGTTTAATACGCGAGTCGTTCAAAATAATTGGGATTGTAACGGAAAACGTTAATTGCGTATATAAAAGCGTTTAATTGCGCCACTCCATTTTAAATTATACATGGAATATATCCCGTAAAAAGTTAACCTTAGTAGTATAGTAGCAACCGTATATAATTCAGTAAATAGTTCAGCAATTCGTGCAGTTTTACTGTTGCGTGAATGTGCTGGCTCTCTCGGATAAGTATCACGGCTACAGAAGACCGTATTGAAAAAGCGTATAAATTTTTTTCTTTCTTCCAGCGAGAGGCAACAAGGTCCCTATTCTAAAACGCAAATTCAATCCAACGGGTGTTCTGTATGTCCAAAGAAAGTGGTAATCACTTATCAACGTTGAACCGTTTGCTTATTTACTCGCTTCTCTTACAAAAAGAAGTGTAGTGGAGTGTAAAAGTAGTCATAAATGTTCACACTATAATATGGTTGGCTGCACTCGCTATTTATTTACTTACCTTTATCAATACAAGCGAGGAATATTGGAATTGCTGTGTATTGTATAGTGTACTGTTATGCCATATATTTCGAATATGTCCGTTCACGGTAACACCATGTTAAGCGCCGCGCGAACGCAAAACAGCGAACCTTTATTTAAAACAGCCGACATTGAATATCGTCCACCGGTATTGGTTTTCATTGTTATCAACTCGCTTTGGTGTCGACTGTTCAGCTCTATCGATATCGATACAATGGCATATATATAAAGATCGTTACTGCATCCCGTCTTGTGTTAAGAGGGGATTATTTCGACTTTCCACTTTTCATATATACATCCATAGTATAGGTGTTCAGTAATTTACTGATGATTCCAATCATACAAGTTGATTTAGTTACTAATATTTTGACCGAATCTTTTCCTATAAAATTTTCAAAAAAATTTCGCAAAGCTACCGTTCACGTAAACTTCCCGACATCTAATACTTGTATGGAAATACTACAAACCGCTCAGTTGCAGATATCCATACACGTTGGTTATCACTTAACATCAGGTGAACCGCCTGCTCGTTTGCCGCTTCATATAAAGAGTCATAACTATAAAGAAAGTTTTTCACATTGTAACTAATAAGGCACAATGGTGCAAAACTTCTGTAGCAACACAAGGTGTTGCTACAGATATTACCAATACAGGGCTTGCGTGTCGCCGTCGATCCGTGATAGCTCAGTGTCCGGGCACTCGTCTTTAATTCAATATACTCGAGCAACCTGAGTTCGATCCCCGGTTGCCGGCACCAATGAAGTTTTTAACTTTAAGTGCTGAGTTTTTATCACGTGCTCCGCGATGAAGGAAAACATCGTGAGGAAACCTGCATATTTTCGAAATAATACAAAAAAAATATATTTCGAAAATATGTGAAATCCGCCAATCCGCAGTGGGGCCGCGCGGTGGACTATGCCCTGATACCCTCTGTATAGAGGAGGCCTTTGCCCAGCAGTGGGACATGTATAGGTTGTTACTTTACTTTACAATCCGCAGTGGGGCCGCGTAGTAGACTCTGCCCTGATACCCTCTGCATAGAGGCCTTTGCCAAGCACTGGGACATGTATAGGCTGTTACTTGCGTGTCGAGCATATATCTAGTAAGAAATCCCCGTATATGTATATATATCTAGTAAGAAATAAAACATGATTTGGTATTCCACTAATATACCTTGAACATCTTAATCGACGAATGGGCCTAGGAGAACAAGGAACGAAATAAATTATCATTCTGCTTTTTTAATTAATTAAAGAATCATCTCTCCTTTTTATTCGAGTAAGTTAGGTTTAGCACCAAGTATAGGTGGTAATAGAATATCCTTTCATAATGTTGAAAGGGAAACTTGAAGTTCGTTGAGACGTAGTGAGACCGAACTTTTAATTACGGATAACAGATGTATCAGATTGTTTTCCAACTTCCTTGACTGTTCACGAAGCAAAACGAGACCATTAGAAATTTTTGCCTTTGCTTCGTTCTGTTTGAAATTGTCATTTGTTGATATCGTGATTATTACACTGAAGCCTTTTGAGACGGTTGTTATTTACCACTGCAATCGTGATCGTGTTATATTTTTAGATTATATCAACACGTGCTTTATCGTCTATTACGTATTTTTCATGAAGACTCGGTGGCGGAGTTGCTAAGCTCTTCGATTCCCACAAGAGACAAGTAACTATGCGACCTTCAGATACTCATTCTGGACTTGGGTTTATCTTGGCAAAGAGCCTTGACGTCAGGCAGAGGGCCGGACGTAAAAAACCTAACTAATACCATTAATACCTTACAAAGTTGGTATAAGGGCAGGAGAAAGAGGAAGGAGGAAAATTGTTTTTTTGATAAGATAACTTTATATTATTTTATTATTTACATCATTTTGCTTGTCGTCCTAATGGGATTATCAACATGGTGTCTTGTTTTTAGGTTTTTAGAAAAATAATTTTATTTTTTTAGTTACATGATTTTGCTGATACATTCTCCGTTGTCTACTAGCTTTATTCATGTCAAAAGAGGTCTTGTGTTAATTGTAACAGATTTTTACTAATAATAAATTTTTATTAACTGAAAATAAAACAGACTTCTAACACCTCACTCACTGTATAGATATCCTATTTAATTTCCCTGGTGTACCTTCGAAATCTAAGGTCCAATGACAATAAAAGTAAACGAGATACCTTTGAAACAATCTTCTGTCCCACAAAAGAGAATTTTCCAAATCGTTTCATAAATGACGGAAGTCTGAGTTGACAAAAATAATGAATAAAACCGAATTAAGAACTTTATCCTTTTTGAAGTCGGTTAAAATAACGACTTATAAGGATAAAGACAAAGGCAACTATGGGTTAGTCGCAGCAAGAAATATCATGTACTAATTCACGTTTCTTAACGATAGTAAATCGCGGTGATGATTATTTCGTCTTTTCGCCACTCACTGCTGTTATATATGTAAGTTGGTGATGGTGGTTAGAAAAAAAACTAAAAAAAAATGAATATCTGATACTATCTATTTATCGCTGCTTGCTCTAAAATTGCAAGTAAAGTAATTGTAACATTTGATAATTTAAGGTTTGTATAATAGATTTGTGTGTCTACGTCACTGATGACAGACCTATATCGTGTTTGGTGATACACATTACTCACGATTTGGCTCGCGTGACTTACTTTAATAGATGGAACAAATTTTTAAGTAGATAATCTCTCGCCCAACTACTTCATGACGTCAATAATTTTTATGTCGTTAACAGGTACACCCATTTTTAATTTTGTTTTTTTTTAACTAAAAAAATTGATTCATGGTAGTGTAAAAATTATTAACCTATTCGTAGGTTTAGCTTTAGCTATAGCGATTATACAAAATGTGATAAAATTAATGTCATATAGAGGCCAATATAACAAAAAATTTCCGAGAATACTGACATCAGAATAAAATCTCACACAACCTGACTCACCTCTTAGTCACGTTTTAGCATTCGCGTAATTTCATAGACCAAACGTGTTTACGATTTAGTGCCATGTGCCACTAACTGTGGTAGGGCCATGAAACAGTGTTCAATGTTGCACGGATGGGCAAGTCCGTCCGCTAGCCGGGGCCCACTTTATTTAAAGGTGGCAACGCATTTGTAACCCTACGGGTGTAACAAATTTCTATGGGCGGCGGTTATTACTTAACATCAGGTGAACCACCAGCTTGTTTGCCACTGTCGGACAATGAAAGAAAAAAGTGATTTGAAATAATGTATAAAATTGAAATTAACAAGCAGTTTACGAAGTGCGAAGCCTTTAACGACGCGTGAACGGCCACGTCGAGAAGCTTAGTGCATTGTTATGGGCAAATAGCCACTATGGTTAATTCTGGTGGCAAAATATTGTCAATTTGTTTCTTCATTAAATCAATTGGCAGGATGTATTGTAGCAAAGGTGCTGATAGTCTAAATTTGTTCTAGATGCTGTACAAACGTGATAGGGCCCATGCGGGCGCTTCCGTACGCTCTAGCGAAGTGTCCTGGGTTCTTAGAACCATCGCAGGCGCAGTGCAGATACTACCACGAGGTCACCGGCAATATAATATGCCCCAACATGGTACGAGGTATCGACCACCTCAGGGATCCCCGTCTGAACAAGGTAATGATTAATGGTATTCCAAATGTTACGATTAAAGAACGGAATTTTCTCGCAAGCTTTATTCAAAGGTCGGTTAAAGGACGCAAACTGCGGGTAACGCACTCGTTAATTGCTTTCGTCTGCTTTTAGAAAAGTGTATTTTTCATACAGGCCCGGACAACGAACCGCTTGTGACTCTGAATTGAAATCGAGAATGTTGACAAACGTTCGGCATTTAATAATTCAACATTATAGCGTGGAGAATATAGTCTCCACGCTAGTTTTATTGTATTATACGATTCTGTTTTTTATTGTAACGATTGCTATTTTCTGCCAGGATTTGTACTCGCGTAATTATTAGAAACTTATGAGACATTTTTCCGACATTACAAACCCTATAGGATACGAAGTTCTTATTGTAGAATAAACATATTTTGTTTTGCCTGTAAGTAGATAAGTGTTAATAATATCCCTGGTTTCAATAGCCCTGGTAGATGCTGCAATAATATTATTCCGTTCCATCATATGCTTTTTTTATGCGAGAAGTTGTCAAGCGCGCAGGTGGTTCACCTGATGATATAAGTTACCATCGCCGCCCATGGACATCTACAAAACCTGAGGTTGTGGATGCGTTGCCAGTATTTTTAAAGTGGGACCCCTATACCTCACCAGACGAAACGCGTAGATATAAATAATACCACTACACGCCGGCTTAATGTGAGACCGTGCCTCCCCGTACGACCCTGGCCATTCATGCAACAGGCCCTAATAATGTCTATATCGTTTTTAAAAAAATATCTCCTCTTTTTTAATGTTAATAAAGTGCATTAGAAGAAAAGTGCGTTTATTACGGTCAGCACAATAGATAATAAACACTTAAAAATAATATTTACTTTTCTGTAAAATAAATTAGAATAACTTAAAATAAATGTATAACAAAAAAACAAAAAATAATAATAATAATAAGCGAAATCTGTGTAGCAGCATAAACCGTTAACGGACGGGACTCTGTAAAAGTCGAGATACAGTAACTAAGATTCGTTCTGATCCCGACGTCAGTATTAAAAACATTAATAATTTCTCGAAATTACGAAACAACTGGTGGTAAATGATTCAATACGTGTATTTATAAAATCTCGATTACAACAACGAGTGTACGGGATATACATAGATCGACGATCAGCTCAGTTTCGTCTATAAGATGTCTAGACACAAGGCCGTTTATCTAGTTAGGGAATACCCCAGACGTCTGGCCTGTACGTCAACCCACGTCTAACTGGTGGGCGATTGATTTCACATCGACGATAATTCATAAAACTCACCGACACTGACGCGTTTAATAACATTTCTTTGTTTGTACGTTTCATTGCGAATACACTATCGCAGATAAGATAACACGAGACAGATAATGCGTAACAATCTACTACTATCTTTCGTGTTACTAATTGTTGGGATCTTACATAATGATGTTTAGTTCAGTTTACAAATGGACCGTGTTTATTTCCGTAGCATTTGTGTTCGACTTGTGTATGAAACAATTTTACGATACAATACATGTACCTCATCATATCGTCCTACGTTCAAACGATATTTGTATGCACTGATTTCCGGATCTTGATCAGGGTGATTTTTTTTTAATGAAACAGTATTTTTTTAAATCTTTAAACACTTCCTGTCGCACAACGTAGTTGTCATTTTGTATTCTGAGTCGTGGTTTCGAATTCAAGTAGCATACACTTAGCAATTTCCATTTGTTAGGATTTCTAAAACATCTTTCTCAAACATCATTGTGATTGTCTGATTTTTTTTACAGAAGGATATCGGCATAATTAATCAATAATAAAATTATTATTCCGAACTTCAATCGATGCTCCGCTACGACCGGTTCGGCCGATAACACGTTTCTGATAAATGCTACGAAATGTATTATGTAAATGTATTAAAACCATTAAGTATACACTTCCGTCAATATCGATTACGGGCGGTGACCGTAGTTAAATAATAATAAATATTTGAACCGAGTGGGAATCGAATCCATAATCCGTGGCGTTGAAGCGCCAATTGAGACATTATCCGACTCGATCCGACGGCCTTGAACTGAGACTACGTAGGTCCCAATCCTGACGATTACCACATAACACGTACATAGTGCATGTTGTGGAATACTCTGTACCTACTGCTCACTAAGTATGGTGATATGACTCTCGTACGGTACATCCCCATTCTACGTCGGTATTCCCCGCTCACAACTATACAATATATTAGTATACAATATATAGTATAACAATAAGGCTTAGTTTCGAACGCTTACATAAATGACACGTAGCCGGTATCAAAGTATTCGGGAGTTGATAATTATGCTCGTCATTTGCAAGAGGCCTTTCGCATCGCTGAAAGAGAAATCATCGATTTGTTTTATTTACGCGAATATTTCTCTGAAGTATTACAGTAGTCTATTACGGCATCTAAAAACTGTAAAGTATTCGAAAATTTAGGGGTTGAATAACAAAATAAAACACGATAAAACCCGTACAAAACTTTAATTAAACCATGTTTTTTGCTTGAAAAATTGTGTTTGCTTGAAAAACGTTTCAAAGAGACACTATTGTGAATAAAAGATTTACTAAAAACCTTACTAATATTATAAACTCGAAAGTTTGTATGTATGGATGGATGTTTGTTACTCTTTCACGCAAATACTACTTAATAACTTATACATCAGAATAAGACAAAGGCTATAATTTATATACATGTTTTATGTATATATCTGTCTGAATGTTACGCCTTCAGTCTATTCTACGCAGACGTAGTCGCGGTCAGCGTCTAGTATACAATAGTCTAATATTAGCTTTTGATTAGTGGAAACTGCTTAAGTATTTCTAGGTATTAATAAAAAGCTATAAAATTAACCGTTTGTATTTAATCTGTGTAACATATTTTAGGGTCTCGCATTCACTTTAGAGGAGCGACAAGCCCTCGGCATTCACGGCCTGTTGGCGGCCAAGTTCAAATCGCAAGAGGAACAACTGGACATCTGCAGGATATCAATAGACCGTTACGAGGATAACCTGAATAAATATCTTTACCTCGTCGAGTTACAGGTGATTAAACAAGATAAAGGTACCATTGTTGTGTTTATGACTTATGTTCTTTATCGTGTTGACAGTTTCTGTTAAATTAAAATAAATATTTCGGGACACACTTTTACACACTAATCAACTCTTGTACTATGGATGTTAGGTAACTAATAAAATACTTAAACGTACTTTCCTATTGTAACGTAAATACCCTAGAAAAACAATATGTTCATCACACAAAATTTTCCCAGTAATGGGGATCGAAGCCACACTCTCTGGCGCAAGACATTTAATACATTGATATAGTATTGGTAGTCTATTTCTTCTTTATAAGTTGTACTGACAGGTCTCCAGTATGTTCCGGTTATAAGGCATATTGGGATATAATTTAGTTTTGTTCAATGGTGATTGCGTAAGTTTTACGCGAATATTGTAATTTTAATATTATTTTCGTATAAAAATATTCCTTCAATTTTTCCGTTGCCATTAGTATCACTAGCGTTTGACATTATGTAAGAAGTTGAATAGATAATTTTAGCCTAAACTAGTTTTATTTGATAAAAAAAACCAGTTATACAAAGGATATTTTTAACGTAACATTTATATGTGTTTTTAGGGAGTTCCATCTGTAATTCTACATAATTGTATTAAGGAAAATTACAATTGAATAATATAAATAAATAAATTAACATAACTATTTTGAGTATTTTTCCGTTTAATACAATAATAGGTTGAGTACGTACCCAAAAATTATCGATTTGAGATAAGTACATTAAAAAAATTCTTTTTCCTATTATTTTCAGAATCGTGGTCCCTATAAAATTTTGTTAAAAGTCGTTTAAATTGTTAAATTTCCCAAACTTTAACACGCAAAGCGTATAGCAACACAGTTAATTCTCTCAATAAAGTCGTGCAACATTTTACGGTGTCGTTTCGACCGTTTATATCTTACAGTGCCGTTGAATCCTTGCAGGACAGAAATGAGAAGTTGTTCTTCAGACTGTTGTCGGAGAATGTGGAGAAGTATTTGCCAATCGTTTACACGCCCACCGTCGGCTTGGCGTGCCAGAGGTTCGGGCTCATCTATAGGAGGCCTAGAGGTCTTTTCATCACCATAAATGACAAAGGGCACATATTCAACATACTCAAGAACTGGTGAGTGATATGACCTCATAGATACACTAGCAGCCTTTTCTTTTGAGACAAAATATAGTTATATAATTTACCCTTTTAATCAGTACTAAAATTGTCCATTGAAATTGAGTAAAAACCCTGTCTCACACAGCACATTATTTCGATGTCAAAAGTTTAAAAATTGGTTTTTGCCAATTTTCGCCTTGTTTATTATTGAAACGGTTTCATTTCTCTATTCGTTTCACTTTTTGAGAGAATGATGTACTTATTAAATTTGTAGAAAAAAAAAGACGAAAAGTATTTCGCTGCGGGAATCGAACCCACGTCTTGGGTATACTCACCAAGACGATTTAACCACCAAGCTAAACGGCCGATTGCCGCACCGACGAAAATCTCGATGTGTCTTATCTACAATTTTTCGCATTTGAAGCAGAAAAAATAAAACAAATATTTTTAACAGACATTGTCACTGTCTCTCCACCCCCCTCTACCCTTTGTAGGCCTGAGCCGGACGTCAGAGCGATTGTGTTCACTGATGGCGAGAGGATCCTGGGTCTTGGCGATCTGGGCGCGTACGGCATGGGCATACCGGTGGGGAAACTGTCCCTTTACACCGCCCTGGCCGGCATCAAGCCGCACCAGTGCTTGCCCATCACCCTGGACGTGGGCACTGAGAACCAGGTACTCCACACATTTCGTGGTAGGGCCAAGCTACTTGCATGAGTGGGCAGGTCCGTCCGGGTAAGTTCCACGACCGCACAGAAGACCAGCGTAAAGTGGAAGAATTACACTTCTGCGTCTCGTTTGGTGAGTGAGGTAGCCGGGGCCCACTTTATTGTAAGGTGGCAACGCCTATGCAGTCCTAATGGTGTTGCAAATGTCAATGGGCGGCGGTCATCACTAGCTCCGGATGCTCGCTATTAATCCAACATGCTCTGCTAGAGTGCTCTACCTGAGTTCACACCTTGATGCCGACACCACTGAAATGGTCAGTTTTAAGTGCTGAATTATCACGCGCTCAGCGGTAATGGCAAACGTAAAGTAAAAAAGGTATATCGAAAAGTATTTCAAAGGTTGTATTATAGATCTCTCGCTTCTTTTATCTCAGAATGCGCGGTTTGTGTGAAATATATTTGGAGCGTAACTTAAGGGCCTTTACGCTCTTTGTCAATGATCCACGAAATCGAAATCCACGCGAGCGAAGTATCGGAAACGAGATATATTCTGTATAAAATGAAATTATCTGAAACATTTACTTTCGTTAATTTAGCTAACAATAACAAAATAAAAAAAATAAACTTGTATTAACGGTTCTCTTATTTCCATTTGACCTTACTGTTCCAAGCCTAGAATAACTTATCCGTAGGGTATTACGTTTTGCATTGTAATACAATTTTCAATTTGAACTCTGCGTTCTATGTAATAATGTCGAGGTTTCTTTGGCAGGACCTATTGGAGGATCCCCTGTATATTGGATTGAGGCAACGGCGCGTAAGAGGGAAGGAATATGACGAGTTCATAGACGAGTTCATGGAGGCGTGCGTACAGAGATACGGACAGAATACGCTATTACAAGTGAGTATATAAATTTCATAAATGAAATAAATCCCTACTGTATTCATCTTAATTTCTTCATCTTCTTAATAAATAAAAATGAATGTTGGTAAGCGCCATAACTCAAGAATGGCTGGACAAACTCGGCAAATATTTTTTGTATGTACCGTAAGGTTCACGGAAGTTTCACGGACAGCTAGTCTTCTATAGATACAGATAAATAAAACTGGAGTGTCTGTTTGTAATGTAAAAATAATCGCTTTACTAAATACATATGAATGTATACACGGTACTTACACCAAAATAACATCTTTTACAATTTTTGTCTGTCTGTCTGTTTGTTCCGGTTATTCTCTGGAACGACTGAAACGATTTTGACGGGACTTTCACTGGCAGATAGCTGATGTCATGAGGAGTAACTTAGGCTAGTTTAGAATATATTTACATAATGATATCTAGCCCCAAACTTAGATGACTCTGGCGTATTTGCCAAGGTAATGACTTCAGCATCGGAGCTCGTGGGTTCGTTTACCAAACGGAACGACTATTTCTGTGTCCCACGGATAGTCGTTTCACATCCGCGTGTTTGTCCATGTAAAATGTATGTTTGTAAAACGTCCTTACAACACAGGGTAATGTTATCCTACAGTAAGGGAAATGTAAAAAGTCAAACAAAAAAAGCCTAAGCAAAGCTTGGACGATGAATACCGTGTAACTGATAAACATACTTAAACACTTCTATATTTATTCTATATAAATGTTACATACCATATCCGGAACAAATATTTGTAGATTACAGTCAAACTTCTTCCGATTATGAATTGGTCTCGAAACGAAATTAATAGTACAGATTATATTAAAATTTTGGTGCTTTAACTGTTAAATGGTTTCACAATAAATTGTCCTCTGACGTTAATTATTGATGACAAAACAATGATCGTGCACTTATTTATCTTTAATATTATCACCTACTTAATTGATCCATCGGTTTGCATTATGATTTTAATAGATTGTGTATACGAATGTCCTTTTATGACGTACGCTTAGTCAAGATCTGTATAGCAAACAAAAACCTATATCAATAAGCTCCGCCCCTTATACAGCGTGTCGTTACCATCGCGACAATAAATGAACACACATATAGGGGATAACTTTTTAAAGTTGTATTAAACGTTTAAATTCTTTAAACACCAATATTTACAGCGTTATTAAATTTTCCAAAACAAAGAATTTTAGAACACCCTTACCTATAAAAGCGTAACGTAAAGTTCATTTGTAAAGGTCACAAAGCATATGAATGGGTTGAATGAATTTAAAAGAGACAAAACATACTGTTAGAAGGAGAGGCTTGTAATATGACGCTGTGGCGCGAGTTGTATAGGATGTTAGAAATTTTGTTTATTTTTTACTTAATTAGTTTGTTTGAAAAATATTTTTTTTTAATTATGGATTTTGTTTTACGTTAATATTTTTTTATGATTATTGGCTCGTAGCGTTAGACGTATGTTCATTTATTGTCGCGATGGTAACGACACGCTGTATAACAACTAGGATATGTTAGAAATGGGACTGTTATGTTAACAGCCACTGTGTTCGTAGGTAATGTCTAACGGGGAATTGTAAATGTCATATTACTAGCTTGAGTTAACGCACACATATTCATATGCATATGTGTGCGTTAAACAATGCGGAGGGTCGATAAAGCTCGGGGGGACGGACTAGCCAAGATTTCTGTGCTCGATGAAGCCGTAATAGTCAACGCACTGAGAGCGAAGCATCAGTTAAGGTGAAAGAACTCAGATTGGTGGCACTTTAACGTTTTGTCTAATAGCGTTTGCAACGAGCAACACGCCTGCAACATTTCTGCTGTTTTATTGTGCAGGAGTGTCCATTACTATATCAGATGAACGTTTGCTCAGTTGCCATCCTTTTGCAATAAAAAATATACTCTTGAATTAAAAAAAAAGGAAAATCAAATTTCTTTACATAAAAGTAGACAATTGCCGTAAACACACTAGTTCGCCCTCGCCTCCGAGCACGGCGAGACCAATCACAACGCGTACACAAAGTACACCCGCGTTCCGGGGCGGTTCTCACCGCTCCCAGCCACCGATAAGCTAATTCCACAGTCGACGGCCATCGGGGTCTCGATGGCCCTTAGATGACACACCATACTTAAACGCGCGCATGAGCACATGCGTGGCCCTACCCACAGCGGAGGGCCCAAACCCGTGGGTTCTGGCTAGGTTCTGCGTCAGATGAAGCTTTAATAGTCTCGGGACTGAAAGCAAAAACATCAGTTTATAAAAAAATAAAAAAACAATTGCCGTCTTCTTGAAAGAAATCAAGATAATTAGAAAAAAAATTTGCAATTGTTTTGAATAAAAATGTAGACATTCATTGCCATCCCTGTTAAATAAAAACGCTTGGGCGAACGAGCTATCTTATCATATTGCAACGAATATGGTGAATCTGTGTCAGCTGGATAATTGATTGCAAATCACTAATCAGATAATCAGCGATTTATGCACGCGAAATTACCAAATGGCGTTACTTAAAAATCGTAAATCGACAGAAAATTTGCACTCGCACTTTTCGTTATCTACTTTATCGATTAATTCTTATAAATAGCTTACCATTGACGTAAATATAGTTAATCTTTACGTCAATTTTTGGCCTTATATTGGATTAGTAATGTTTAAATGAGAATCGAATTGATAAACATATAACATGACTAATGCATATTTCATCTGAAATTTAACTATTTAAATTTATTACTGAAATAGGACTTTGTTATACAAGATTTGTTAGATTTTGCTTATGAAATCTAACAAATCTTGTATAATCTAACAAAACTTGTTAACATATCATAATAAGATTTAATACAAGGTATTTTATACCTATAGTAGTCTTATCTACTCAGGGTTAAATAATATTGGTGATATATTCACTAGTCTAAATTCGTACCGAAACATAAACAAAGGATGCGGAGATTTAGCGTAACCTAGAAACACTTTCTGGCGTCAGTCGCTCGTTAACTGTGCCCTTGCACTCTCAATGGACGGGAAGGGGATATACTATAAGGGAATATAACTGGATCGCAACTGATTTTTACCAAAATTCACATGTGATATTTTCGTGCTTAAGATAATTTCGACACTAGTAGGGATAGGATAATTTAAGGTCGCTTAACTAGAGTTGAAAGACAATTGCATCTCAAGATATGTTTGTCTATTTAACTGTGTTATATAGATCTATATCTATCTCTATGCTATAAAAAACTATAAAAAACTTAATGTTTTTTCAGGCGCATTAATCTAAGAAATCAATACCAACTGTGTCGTTATAGATTTCATGTTGCATTCTGCTTCTTTACTTCTATTGGTGCATTAAACCATATAAATCATTAAAGATAAAAGTTGTATGTGTATTATACATATTAGGTGCTATATATATATATATATCTTATCCTTTAAACGAGTAATTCTTGCAAACCGACAAAAAATTAAAAATGATGAAAGCATTGATCTGGAATCGAAAAAAAAGTAAAAAAATAAATGTGTAAATGATCGTGACGCGAATCACGGCCGTCTGTTTTTGGACCGCCCGATTACCGACCGAGCTATTATGACATTTTCTCTTGCGGCGAAATTTACCGTCATATTCGAATTATATTTTTCATTAATTTTTAAAGTTTTTTTTATAGTGCTAATCTCTGCACTTAAGATTGAACATTAAAACATGTAGAAAAGTAGGAAAAGATTGTCGGCGCTGTGGGAATCGAACCCACGTCTTCGGCATTCGCGGCCTGACGCTCTAGCCACTGAGCTAAACGGCTGATAGCCACAGCGACGAAAATCTTAACGCCTTCCTTCTACATTGTAGTAAATAGTTTTACTTCCGTAAGTTAAAGTGCCAAACTGCCAAATACGTTCTTTTATGAAAATTTGCCTAGCGGAGAGGCGGTTCACCTCATGTTAAATGAATACCGCTGCCCATAGACGTCTAAAACATCTCAAGGCTTGCAGGTGTGCTGAAAACCTTTAATGAAGTGGGCCTTGGTTACCTCACTCCCCGTATGAAAAGCGAAAGTATAATAACTTTGTGAGGCCGCGGTATTTCCCAGGTACTTACGAGCCTGCCCATTCTCACAACTAACACAGTTTGAAATAGGCAAGCGTGTCTGGGAAGTACTTAATTAGGTGAAGACATGGCCGGGAAGTATTATACTTCTGCAATTCGTCTGGTGTATGAGATAACACTTTTAAAGGTTGGCTTGCCTACTCGTGCAACAGTCTTAAGTTGTCGCGTGGCCCCACCACAGTGGAAACCTCGATTCAACTTGCAGTTCGAGGACTTTGCGCTGATTAACGCCGGGCGGCTACTGCAGAAGTACCGCAACAAGTACTGCACATTCAACGACGACATCCAAGGCACCGCCAGTGTGGCCGTCGCCGGCCTGATGGCGGCCGTCAGGGTCACTAAGAGGAAGCTCAGCGAGAACATATACCTGTTCCTCGGCGCTGGCTCAGTGAGTACCCTTTTATTTTTTCTCTGTCTCATCGACCGGGAACACGGAGACGCAATGTTCCGCGAACCCGGCGCGACTATGGCCATTTCGGGCCTCCTCATCTAAATGGTGGTGTGAGGCTGAATAAAAAAAAAGTTAAATTGGTTTTAATATACCTAGAGATATTAAAACTATTTTTTTTTAATTTCGGATTAGTCAACTAGCGTCTGGTGCTCACCCATTAGAATTGATGATTGACCTTAATTTTTAAGCATAGTCCGATTTTATTTATTAATTTTTATTTGCAATTTATTTAGATTTTACTTGTTTAATCAATAGCTCCAAGACATTAAATCAATAATTGGCACATTACACGTTTGTAATCAGAAAAAGTTCCCTGACATGTTAAATAAAATTAGAGCTTCATACTAATTTTGGCACGAATGCGCCAATATGCGCCCTGCTCTAACATGAAAACAAAAAATCGATTTATGCACTCGACTGTACTAGTCGAACTCGCTAGCGCGTTACGACTGCCGTTCACCCGGCAGGCAACCAACGGTGTCGCGAACCTGACCATGGCCGCCATGATGATCTAACTCTTTTTATGCACTCGTTTGTACACGACGGTATTCACTCAACATCAAAAGAAGATTCGACTTATTCACTAGACGGTACAGCCAGTACAGTTGACATTGACATTGTACTTCGCCGTGCTCCACACAAAAGGCGTCGAACGGAACGGACGCGAACTTGACCGTGGCAGCCAAGATGTCCGAGGGGCTCACCGAGCGTTTCAACTTTGTCTTTGGCTTTGTCCTTGACTTTGTCTTTGTACTCTACCGCACCCCACTCGACAGGCGTCCAACGGCATCGCGAATCTGACCGTGGCCACCATGTTGTACGAGGGGCTTACCGAGCGTTTCGACTTTGTCTTTGGCTTTGTCTTTGGCTTTGTCTTTGGTTTTGTCTTTGACTTTGTCTTTGACTTTGTCTTTGACTTTATCTTTGGCTTTGTCTTTGGTTTTGTCTTTGACTTTGTCTTTGACTTTGTCTTTGGCTTTGTCTTTGGTTTTGTCTTTGACCTTGTCTTTGACCTTGTCTTTGACTTTGTCTTTGGCTTTGTCTTTGACTTTGTCTTTGGCTTTGTCTTTGACATTGTCTTTGACTTTGTCCGACCTTGTACTCTACCGCACCCCACCCGGCAGGCGTCCAACGGCATCGCGAACCTGACCGTGGCCGCCATGATGGCCGAGGGGCTCACCGAGCGGCAGGCGAGGGAGCGCGTGTACATGTTCGACGTGGACGGGCTGCTGTCCACGCGGCGGGAGGGCGGCGTGCCCGAGCACGCTAGGGCCTTCGGCAAGGACGTCGAGCCGGAGAAGGACTTCGAGGCGTGCGTCGCCAAGATCAAGCCCAGCTGCCTCATCGGTGAGCGGGCTACTGCTGTTTGCCACCCTTTCGACCGACTCCGAAAAAGGAGCGGCCAGAGCTGGCGGTTCGCCTGATGCTAAGCGATTACCGCCGCCCATGGACATTCGCAACGCCCGTTGGGTTGCAGATGCGTTGCCACCTTTTAGTGAAGTGGGCCCCGGCTACCTCACTCACGCAACCTAATGTAATCAAACCTGTAACACTTCCACTTCACGCCGGTCTTCTGCGAGGTCGCGGTCGGACCTGCCCAATCGTGCAACAGCCGGAGATGTTGCGTGGCCTTACCACAGTAACAGCCCTATAATATGAGGTTCTCAACTACTCGTGACCCCGCGGCGCAGTTGTCGAGGTATCGGCCTCGACTTCGGCGTCGGCGGTCGTGGGTTCGATTCCCGACGACTGTTTGTGAGACCCACGGGTAATTTTTCGAATCCGGGTGTGTTTCTGTGTATAAAATGTTATATAAATCTGCGGAGTTTCATATGTTTCCCCCATACATGAACATGACATGACTTTTGTTTGTTACAATATTATTGAAATAAAATATTGCCCATTGGACTACTATCTCTTACAATTAATTCGAAGGTAATTTTAATGTTTCATGACTTCGTATTGATTGAAACAATGCCCTTGATATCGTTTGAGTCTTAAAGATTTATTATTTATTATTGACATCAGTTACTTACTAACGTTCATAGTTCATATTAGTGATTACGTTCGCGTTTTATAAAAATTGACATCAGCCATATGGTATGTGGTCTTATATTAATTTCTTCGTTACTGGAACTTGGGCTCCAGAGATACTTCGGGAACTCTTGAAAATCAATTATAAAATGAATACAGGGCGCGATATTTGATGTCGGTTTTGTTTTACGTTAGTAAAAAAATGGTTATTTATGTTGTAGGTTGCTCGACCGTGGGCGGTGCGTTCACACCTAACGTTCTGAAGCAAATGGCGAAAAACATAGAGAGACCAGTCATTTTCGCCCTCTCGAATCCTACAAGTAAAGCTGAGTGTACTGCGCAGGCCGCCTACGATCACACCGAAGTAAGCGAGGACGATGTTTGTTTTTTACCGACTTCAAAAAAGGAGGAGGTTTCCCAATTCGACCGTATATATTTTTATTTTTTTCTATGTGTGTTCGTGGATAACTTCGTCGTTTATGAACCGATTTTGATGATTCTTTTTTTGTGGGAAAGGAGGTATCAGGGTCGTACCATGATAAGGAAACCCGGATCTGATGATGGCATCCCAGGGAAATCGAGTGCCATCATTGAATGTTATAGTTAATTGTTGTGTTAATATAGTTATATTTATATAATGTTATAGTTATATTAACAATGTTTTTAATTTTCTGATTGAAGTCGGTCTTTTTTTGTTTAAAAATATTAACGATTGTTTTTAACGAAAACATTAACTTCAAAAACGTAAGCATTAAAATTATGTTTGCCTCATTAATTTTGACAAACGATTAAGAAAGACAAGGAGAAGATAATTTTTTTAACTGTTTTTAAATTTCATCTTGAGTGCAGAGAACAGCGCTACATAAAATAATAAGTATCGTTAAAAAATTGTTCATTGGTTAAATACAAATACTATAACCCGGACATATTATAAAAGTGTGACGCAATAACACTTTTATAATATGTCCGGGTGTCTAAAATTTCAGTATGGACATATCAACGGCCGTTTTCTCGTCTATAACCCGGACATATTATAAAAGTGTGACAGTATGGACATATCAACGGCCGTTTTCTCGTCTATAACCCGGACATATTATAAAAGTGTGACGCAATAACACTTTTATAATATGTCCGGGTGTCTAAAATTTCAGTATGGACATATCAACGGCCGTTTTCTCGTTCCAGGGTCGGTGCATCTTCGCGTCTGGCTCCCCCTTCCCGCCGGTCCAGTACAACGGGCGGGAATACCACCCCGGCCAGGGGAACAACTCGTACATATTCCCCGGCGTCGCCCTGGGCGTTATCGCCACCGCGACCCACCACATACCGGAGACGATGTTCCTGACCGCCGCCAGGGTAAATGTTTTTGATTGTTAAAGCCTAGCGACCCGCCCTGGCTTCGCGCGTGTGCAACGTATTATATTATACATATAAACCAGTGATTCTCAACCACTGTGCCGCGGCACTTTTGTGTGCCGCCAAATTTCAAAAGTGTGCCGCCAAATTTTGCAAATATATAATAATGTTAATATTATTAAATTATATCATTTAAAAAGAAAACTATTTTTTGGCATTAGCCAACATTAAAACTAAAAAAAGATCAAGATTGTTAAATGTAGAAGACGATATGAGAGTAGCATTGTCATTTTTACGACCAAATATAAATGAAATTATCAAAAAACATCAAGCTCAAATTTCGCATTAAAAATATTTTTATTATTAGCTTGTAATTAATCCCTTAATAAACGTTTAGTTATTATTGTAGTATATATTAGTTTATTTCGAATATTTAAAATTTTTGTCATAAACTATTTATGCAGTGTGTTGTAGTAAGTAAATAATTTTTATCTTCTTTGTGTGCCGCCAAATTTAGAAATCGTTAAATATGTGCCGTAACAAAAAAAAGTTTGAGAATCACTGATATAAACCTTCCTCTTGGATCACTCTATCTAGTAAAAAAAACCGCATCAACATCCGTTACGTAGTTTTAAAGATATAAGCATACATAGGGACGGACAGACAGTGCGCAACTTTGTTTTATACTATGTCAATGTCATGTGATTTGAAAAACACGGACGAAGAGTTTTACCCTCTGCGGAAATGAAAAAATTAAAATGTAAAATGTCTATTTAAATATAGGTTTACAATTGTATACATTAAACCCAACACTAGGCGCAGTCTGCCCTCTGCCCTCTGGAAGTTAATGATTTCCGCAATTTGGTGCCATGGCACGAACAGTAAACTCTATACAAACAATATTATCATAACATAATGTAGGATAACAAAGAAAAGTATTAAGAGAAAATGTAGAAACGGTTATAACATTTAAAAGAAAAACTTGAATCCACGTCTTCCTTTCTTCAATGGGGACATCTCTCATTCAAATTATCCTTGTAAAACGATATTTGAAATTGCTTGTGTGCTTTAGGTGACAATAAACAAATAGTTGTGGTAGCGTTAAATCCCTGGCAAAAATATCCGAAAACCAAAATAGTATAATCGTTTATATTACTTATGACTCTTGTATCCTCCGCTTACGAATGCGGTCAAGGTTAATGTATGTGTTAATCATAGCATATGATGATTGTTACAAACAAGGTTTAATTGCGCCGAGCGTAATAAACCGCGAAATTGTTCATAACCATCATTAAAATACATATAAACCCATAAATTTTATACAGAGCGAGCCTCATGAGCATAATGATAAAATAATCGATTAATGATAAAGAATTAGGTATAAATAAAAAATAAAAAAAATCATTAAAACATGTAGAAAAAGTATGAACACATTGTCGCAGCTGTGGGAATCGAACCCACGTCTTCGGCATTCGCGGCCTGACGCTCTAGCCACTGAGCTAAACGGCTGATAGCCACAGCGACGAAAATCTTAACGCCTCTCTTCTACATTGTTATTTAGCATTTGAAGCAATGCTTGGCGCATCTATCCATATCTTTTCTTCTAGAGTAACATTAAGTGTAGATTAGTCAGGTTGAGTTGTACCCTTTACACTGATGAACGTAATGCCTGTTTGTTTTACGCATCATTCTGTGTAAAACAGTATTGGAATTACCCTTACATTATTGTTTTATAGTCACTTATAGAAAGCTCACAAGCTTTCTTTAAAATGTGCACAGGTTTACAACAAGTGGGAAATATGTTTATGATTTTGTAAATATTACCATGGTTTGTCGCAATTTTTTAAATTTTTTTAACCTTTAAATTGAGGTGAAATAGCATTTAATGAATTAAATGTTTAAACTCGGCAGGGCAAGCTTCTGTTTACCCCATTCCAATGGATTTGGCCAAGCATGTAGCAAAGTGCCAATACAATTTCTGCTATGAGTCAAATCTACCAGATTCCTATCAGTGGCCTGACTGTGCCAAAAATAACTACACTTTGTGCCAAGGACGATTGTTTCCATGCAATTGATTTTGAGCAAGAAGACATTGGAAAATGTTTGATTTTTTTAATTATTTTGATTTAGTTTTTTATTTTTTTTTGTTTTATCATGTAGGACTTACGTTTAGTGATCGCTTTAGTTTTATTTCATTATAATAATGTTGGTACTATTTTGTGAACAAGTATACTAGTGAATTACATTTAAAAATTTCATGATAAAATAACAAAAATTGTAAGGGGACTTACTTACATACATGTAAATATCAAATGCGCATTTTTTGTATATTTTTAACATATGTTTTTAAGTGAAAATCAATGTGGTTTATGAAGACATTTAGTAAATATTAACTAGCGCAAATAGATTTATATTACAGGAAATCATTTAACGTAAGAATCTGCGACAGTGTATACAGCTCAGTTTTATTAAATTACTAATTAATACTACATTTAAATTTTAGTAAACATTTCAAGTGTTTTCGTTTTACAATTTTAGCGTACAATTAATGGCAACGTGTGTTACCTCTTTAAAATGAAACAAAAAATTATACGTTTTGTGTTTCCCTAATTTATAACTATTAACCATTGAAGTAGTGTTCTTGTGCTTACAATTGTACTATTTTATTCATGTGAAAAATGAAAAAAGTATTGTTTATCGTTCAATCGTTCTCGTTATATATTTTATATACCTTATGAGCACCATATTTGGGGCATCCAGTACAATTTCAATTACTTAATTTTGCATTTAACGAAAAGCGATAATGTTTAATTCGTTATAATAAAAAACAAATGGATCTTAAAATCGATCTTGGATATCGATTGAAAATAAACCCTTTTCGATTCGGAAATTAGTGTATATTTTCATTTCAGTATTCTTTATGGTAGATAGAGAAATTATTTTCGCAGAGCGAAAAAATGTGAGTTATACTTTGAGTATTAAATAACTGTAGTAATTTATGTTATACAGGTATCTATTGATACGAAGTGATTTGAGTTGCTGTGACCATGTTAGGTATAACGATTATGAAATAACGAAATAAAAAAAAAAATCATGTGTGTACTTATGTATGCACGTAAGAAGTTATACTTCTTTCGTGGAAAAAAGAAAAATAACTAAAAAATGTATCCCCTGTGCCAGAAGTTCGTTGTGAAAAACATTAAATGCAATTGATAACGGTTTAATTAAATAACTTGGAATTATAGGTAAATGTCAAAAGTTGTTACCGGTTGCCGTAGTAAGTAATGCCGTGAAGTTTGTCGCTTCGCAAACTACTTCATCATGTCGCTGTGTAAAGATTTCACTCGGATATTTTTTCCAAACGGGCCAAAAGAAGTATAACTTCAAAGAATGTTAGATTTCTATTTGAGCGTTAATTTACTTACGTGTGCCACCCACCATATGCGTTGTTTACGTTTTTCATGCGCATGTTAATTGCTTCGGTTCCATTAAACTGATGTTCTGTTCACATTTAATTTTAAGGCGTTTCTTACAGGTCAATTAATGTTCTACTTTTAATTTATCGGCATGCGAGAACTTATTGTGAACGTTCAGTAGACTAAAATTGTTGACTACGATAATCGATGTTACTAATTAAAAATGTTCTAAATACTGTGGCCTTTCATTTATATCATTACCAGTTATCTATTTCTACGTTACAACGTCATAGTATTTGTGGGTATATTAAAAGAACAGTACTGTAATGGGTCAGCTTAGCATAAAATTTGTCAATGCATAAAGAATGCAATCTTTCACAGAAGGGCATTATAAAGTAGTGATTAATTACTTTGAGAATAACCATATAACAACAATTTCAGAGTGCCCGCAATTTAAGAGTCACCATACAACAGCACATTACTTTGGGCAAAGCTTTTGTACTTTCGTAATCTCTTGTATTATGGATCAGCATACAAAGTGCAACCACGTTTGGTATAACTATTCGGTGGACCATTACCACAGCACACTCGATGCTAAAATCTTCATAGCTATTACGCCATCCGAAAATCAGGTTCCTTAACATGGCTTATGTTTATTAAAATATGTAGAAAAAGTACGAAAAGATTGTCGCCGCTGTGGGAATAGAACCCACGCCTTCCGCATTCGCGGCCCGACGCTCTAGCCACTGAGCTAAACGGCTGATAGCCACACCGACGAAAATCTTAACGTCTTTTATCTACATTGGCTTATGTTTGTCATATCTGCAAAGTTCCTTACCGTCTGTACTTTATTTTGTATAGAGGATTCTGATAAAATACTACATATTTTTTTAATGTGAGAAGGTGGCAAACGAGCTAGCGGTTCACTTGATTTAAAGTGATAACCGCCGCCCATGGACATTTGTAACACCCGTATGGTTGCAGATAAATAAATAAATAAATAAATATTTTAGAACACATTTTTACACAACGTTCTCTAGTCCCAAACTAAGCAACGCTTGTATTATGGGTACTAGATAACTGATAAACATACTTAAACATACTTTTCTTTTGTAAATAAATACATATTATACATATATAAACACCCAGACACTAGAAAAACACTATGTTCATCACACAATATTTTTCCAGTAGTGGGGATCGAACCCACACCCTCTGGCACAGCAGGCAGGTACACTACCCACTACGCCATTCGGGTCGTCGATGCGTTGCCACCTTTTGTTATAGTGGGCCACGAATTCCTCACTCACCAGATGAAACGCAGAAGTTTAACTTACTTCACGCCAGTCTTCTGTGAGGTCGTGGACCCAGACGGAACTGCCTATTCGTGCAAAAGTGAACTGTTGCGCGGCCCTACCCATTTTATAAAGGGTACTGTATCACTACGTAGTATAAAACAAAGACGTCCTGCTGTCTGTCTGTCCCTATGTATGCTTAGATCTTTAAAACTACGCAACGGATCTTGATGCTCTTTCTTTTATAGATAGAGTGATTCAAGAGGAAGGTTTATATGTTTAATACGTGCACCCGTGCGAAGCCGGGGCTGGTCGCTAGTTATTATAAGGCAACTGCTATTTTTACTGTTGACTTTGTAATTATAGTGTATTTGTATATTTTTAGTATATTAAAAATTGACTGACCTGTTGAAACTGGTTAGAAAATACCTATATTGAATTTATCACATCATATTAAGGTAAGTGGGAGGTATATATAATTTTGAAATAGTGAACGTTTGAAGTAACGTTTTTGTTTTCATAAAGAATTAACTTTAGGTTGTATTTGCTTTCGTGCCTTTGGATTATCCGTTAAATTTTAATACGCACTCAACAGTGTTTACAGTGGCAAAGGCTTAATCGAAAAGGGTTGTTCATCGGGAAAGTCTAACAAGCCTTTTCGTTTTCAGATGCCTTATATAATGTAACTAGCTGACCCGTCAATCGTCTTGCCAAATAAATTATGTAGGGTAGGAAAAAATGTTTAGAGTGGACCACCCTTATCACATAGGGGTGTAAAAATTAGTTATAAACCTATTCTCATATCTACTAAATATACATATAAAATTTCATCAAAATGGGTCAAGCCGTTTCGGAGGAGTATAAACATTAAAACTGTGACACAAGAATTTTATATATTAGATAAATAATGTTTATGTTTCCTAACAAGATGGCTTGAAAAGGCTGCGGCCTATCCAGGAACAAGGATGAACAAAAATATCTTTATTTTTCGTTATAATCCCCATCTAGATCTGAACATTCGTTTATCTTATTTTCAAGGCTCTTACTATCGTGTAAGTAAAAACAAATAGATACCTCCCTCCTGCTTCAACATAGTACAATCGGACGCTCGGCTTAACTACATTCTTTTACTCGATGTTTAAAGCATTCGGACCTAAGCCCACCACAAAAACAAAGAATAGGAGATTCGTTATAGCTATTCAAAATAATTGTTTAACTTTTATACCTACATCCTACATCGTGGATTTTATATTTGATAAAGCACTAACTGACAATTAAAGTAAACATCGTGCTGGTTGTGTAATACCTCCAATAATTTTGTATAAACTTATTGCTCTTACTTTTAATAGGATGTAACAATGAATTGTTTTGTTATATTGTCGCCTGACTTAGCGTTTATCTGTATCGCGCTAAACAGGTAATTCGAAAAGAAAAAAGTCAAAGAAGACACTGTTTCCCATTTCTCAATGTCAATCGTTGAAGCGTAAAGACAAAATATATGTCAAAGATGCCTTTTTAATGAATTCAAATCCGTTAATGAAGTTTATCATTACTGAAATGCTCCCTGCAATTCCTCAATATTTTTCGTAAGTAGTTTAGCTTACACTGCAAGGTTTTATATAAGTAACTTCTTAATGTTCTTATGTTTTACCTATTGTTCGATCATTTATAATACGCGTTATTTATTAAAGTGAAAACAGATGTAATGGGAATTTTCATAAATTTATAGCAATTGCAATGCTAACTTGGTAACAGTTGCTAGGGCGGCTCGTGAGTTTGCGGATGGTCGTGGATTGTAAGTGTGGGCTTAAACTACTCGGGGTCATGTCTAATTAGTCAACTAATTGATTAGGAGTTATTATACTAGGTACTTGGTTAGGCAAAAAAAAAATAAGCAGTGTAAGAAATAATTGCAAAGAATGATTACAAGATTACAAAAGTTGTACAAAAAAAGAGAATTTTTCGTGCAGCGGCGATCGAAGATAAGCCTGTTCGACTCCGACTATGCGTTTGCGGGAAAATACATGGAAAGTAGGGGTGGGGATTCCATTGTAATAGACGCGAGAAAATGAAAATGCAAGCAAAACCAGCGGCGAGATATCCCCAGTTCAGTACAGGGTACCTTACGATACGATTTTTTTTTATTTGTGATTTTTTCAATTCACAATTCTGGCCATTGTCTTCAATTGGGCTGGGGCCCCTAAGTACCCACCGAACCTTGGTCTGCAGCCCAAAAAGCCCTTACGTAAATCCGCCCCTGACTTGAAACTCCTTCGAACTGAATGTTTTTCCTGATCTACATTGCACCAAATTCTAGATACTCACTGAGAGTTGCACGTCGGAACCGCTTCTTGTGTTATCGCTTGATACAGTGTCATGAAGTCAATACTGTGTGCGGTGACACAATCTCCGTAAACATGACCAGAGGGATAGACCATTTAAGGAACTCTCGCACTAACAAGGTAACTTAGTCAAATACGCGAAATTGGTTCTGTTGTTTCACCGTCCGGGAAAGTTAACGGTGGTAGAGCCACGCAGCAGCCTCGGCTGTTGCACGAATGGGCAGGCCCGTCCGGGTAAGTACCACGACCTCACAGAAGACCGGCGTAAAGTGGAAGTATGACAAATACTTTCGCGTTTCGTCTGGTGAGTGAGGTAGCCGGAGCCCAATTTCCAAAAAGGTTGTCAACGCATCTGCAAACCCACGGGTGTAGCAGATGTCTATGGGCGGCGGTATTCACTTAACATCAGGTGGACCGTCTGTTCGTTTGGCAACTTTTCACACTTAAAAAAAAAAAAAAAGTACCTTTCAAACCAACGTTAAAGTTTCCTTCACGCTGGAATACTTTCCCTATTCTTCTCGTGAGGTAATCTGTGTCCACGTTTTTTAAAGGTGGCCAATACATCTGCAAGCTCTCAGGTGAACCGCTTGTTCGATTGACAAATTTACCGTTAATAAATAACATACATAAATATTTTAGGACACGTATTTACTCAACGTTCTCTAGTCCCAACGCTTGTACTATGGGTACTAGATAACTGATAATCGTACTTAAATATACTTTTATTTTGTAAAATAAATATAATATATTATACATATATAAACACGCAGACACGGGAAAAACACTGGATTAACATATCATCACACAATATTTTTCCAGTAGTGGGGATCGAACGCACACCCTCTGGCGCAAGAGGCAGTTTCACTACCCACTACGCCAATCGGGTTGTCAAATGCTTTGATATAATATACACTTTATAGGGTCTAGCGTTCAGCATTCGTGAACGACAAGCCTTAGGCCTTTTAGGTTTGTTGCCAGCGCGGGTGAAAACTCAAGAAGAGCAAGTGGAGATTTGCAGCATATTTTTGGACAAGATCAAAGATAGCTTACACAAATACATTTATTTGGTCGAGCTACAGGTATTTAATTAGTAATTTACATTAATGTTTATTTTGACTTTTAGACTAGGATAAATACCTCGGTTCTATGTCGAAATAAAATGAATCGTTACACCCGAGTTAAATAAATTAAACTTTATACAGTAGATAGAACCTCTATAAGTCGAACATCAAAGGAGACGTTAAAAAATTCGATTTATAGAATTCTCGACAATTCTTGGTTTTCAGAGTTGCTGGTTTGCGCTATAAAATTCCGTAAAGTATTAATTGCTGTTCTTGCCTCTGATGGAAACCCATGGAGCTCATGTAGTATTACTCGACTCTTTTATGTCGTCTAAAATATTAAGTATCGATTTTATAAGCTACTAAATAGATTCTGGTAGAACCAAACTACGTCTGACAATTTTGCGAACGCCAACAAATTTAAATTATTTTTTTTAATAAATAAATTTATTATTTATTATTGATTATTATAAATTTATATATTAAATAAATTTAATAAAATGAATTTTTCGAGTTATAGAGGGAAAATATGTACCAAAATGACTTGCAAGGAGGGACTTACTAATCAGTAATCATTACTTCAACGAAAAGAGGTTCGAAGTTTCGAGTAATGGAGGTTTTGGAGGTTGAAGGGAAGGGAGCAAAACATTTTTTCGAGTTTTGGAGCTTTCGACTTATATAGGCAAAATTTTTTTCGGAGCTTTTTTTTATACATTTCTCTATATTATTTTTCTGCACATTTCCGTCTTTAACCATTTTGAACTTATAATTAAATAATTACGACTAATTTACACAATTACACCATGATTAAATGAACACGGTATAAAACTGTTTGCAGAAGATGGCGTCGCATTTTTGTGGTTTAGACATTTTGTTACAACAAAACAAGACTAAGTAAGAGTCAGTGCTTTCCTAATGTTCTGTGATACTGTGTGAGTTGAAGACGTTGGGACCCTGTTTTTTCACCCATAAGACAAGCATAATACACATAAATCAATTCTTCACGACAATGATTTTCTGTGAAACCGACCCGTAGAGAAAGACCTAGTTAGTCCGCTGATTATTCAACAAATTAATCTATGATAAGGCTCTACTACAGTGGAATTATTAATAAATTAAGCAATACAAGTATATGTAATAGCTAATTGAAAGATTACGAAACGAAACTAATTTACGGATTTTATCGCGTTTTTTTTTTTTAAATAAAAAATAAAAAAAACGCGATAAAATCCGTAAAGTAGTTTCATTTAATATGTATAATATTCGCGTAAAATCAAGAAAACAATATTACGAAACGAGTTTAAAATGTATGGGCTACTTAACTCTGTTTTTCAAGTCTATGAATCTATGCTCGTCTATTACAGAAAAATTTAAGTGAGGCGGAAAATCCCCTCAAGCGAAATGGGTTGATGGTGTTGTAAAAATCACGGTTAAAGCTTGTAACAGTGCCTGGTAGGAATGGCCCATTATAGAACTTTGCCCAACATTGGGGTAGGGAACACTTGTGAAAGTCGAGACGATTTGGGGTAAAATAGAAAGAAATAAGTGTTTTTTCCCACCGTCGGGGGTCCCGCCGGATAACACTACACACACAGTTAGTGTAGCAACAAACACATTAGTTCGCCCTCGCCTCCGAGCACGGCGAGACCAACACAACGCGTACACAAGGTACACCCGCGTTCCAGTGGAATGTTCTCACCGCCCCCAGCCACCGATTAGCTAAAAACACGAAACGACGTTTAAAATGTATGGGTTGTAGTTAAACGCACGCATGAGCACATGCGCGGCCCTACCCACAGCGGATGTTGTAAAAACACCGTGGGTTCTGGCTAACAGTGTTCTGCGTCAATGCCCAAAGCTTTACTTTGCCCAACTGGACTGAAAGCACAAACATCAGTTAATACAAGATACAATAACTGTTCACATCCGAGTTATTTTAACATCGCCATAAGTTTTGAAAATTTCTGTAGTCCTTTTTGTGTTTGAAAATATTACAGGATAGAAACGAGAAGTTGTTTTATCGGCTTGTATCGGAGAACGTAGAGAAGTACTTGCCAATGATATACACACCGACCGTTGGTTTAGCTTGTCAGAAATTTGGCCTGATCTTCCGCAGACCAAGAGGCCTTTTTATCACTATCCACGATAAAGGGCGTATATCCGACATACTAAGAAATTGGTACGTGCTATCATTTAAAGTAAATTAAAATAACATGCTATTCAGGGTGGCTTTTTTAAAGGTGCCCAAATTTACATAGGAGGTTCAGACTCGGTAGTGTAATCGTTTATTGAAATAAAAACAAACTTTTTTTTTCAAAAAAATTGCCATTCTATTCCCTTAAAAAACAGAACTTGTTGACAATGCGTAAGTCATTCATAAATGCGTCGTATACTTTTGAAACGAACTTGTGGTTGTGTTAGTTATGAATGATAGCTCGTAAAATAAATGTAACAGCCTATACATGTCCCACTGCTGGGCAAAGGCCTCCTCTATACAGAGGGTATCAGGGCATAGTCCTCCACGCGGCCCCACTGCGGATTGGCGGACTTCACATATCATCGAATTTTTTTTTGTTGTTATTTCGAAAATATGCACGTGTTAAGTCAGCACTTAAAGTAAAAAACTTCATTGGTGCCGGCACCGGGGATCGAACTCAGGTTGCTCGAGTATATTGAATTAAAGTCGAGCGCCCGGACACTGAGCTATCACGGCTTAAAAAAATAAATAAGTTGCCCATAAATCACCCACTTTTTGAGATAACTTCAAATGAATGTAATTAATTAATTGTGAGTGATTTTAAATATTTATAGCATTTAATAAAAAAAATGGATACACTTAGAAAAGCCTCCCTGTATACATTAATTTATAGGCTGTTACTGATGGACAATGGCGTCCGTACAGGCGATATTAAGTCACAGTCTACCACGTAACCCCGTATAATAAGATTTTAAGCTATGGTAAATGTCTTGTGAAAATCTGTGTAGCCGAGAATAGTTATATATTTCGATGATGTCTAAATTCTGTTGAAACGCAATGGAGGCAAAGGCAGGCTTTAGGCAAAGCCTACGATTAAAATTATAATATACAGAATATTACTGTCCTTTTACATAGAAGGTGGTGTCATTTTCCCCACACAATAACTGGACCTGCAGTATACTTCTAAGACGATTATGAAGCCATAAGTAGAGCAAGGAAGACTACTTTGTTAGACTTTGAACAGAGACGCTGTTACCTTACCTTTTTCATTGTTGTACATTGAACGTTCATTTAGAAATTGTCGAGCATTTTTTTTTGTTTTTTAAAACATAGCCCTTACTGTAGGATAACATTATCACGTGTTGTAAGGACGTTTTACGTACACAAATTATACGATGACAAACACCAGTTAACCCCGACGCCGAAGCCAATACCTTGGCAACTGCGCAACGGAGTCATCGCTGAATAATCAAGAATTCATCACTAAAACCGCCAAGAATTAGCAAGTATAAAAATAATGATGCAGCTTGCTCTTCCGGCGTCGCTTAATTGCGCCGTTCAAGAGAAACCGTAATTTTTTTGGTGGATTTAAGTACCGTGTGTGTTAATTTAAAGTGCACGATTTCCTTTAAAATTTCATGGACGGAAACAAATACACCAAATAGGAAACCTCAAAACCCGTAATACCTATATTGAAAAAAAAAAACTATCGTTAATCTATACAGATAAATAAAATTTGAGTGTTTGTAATATTAAAATAACCGCTTTTCACGAAATGTATTTGGATGTATACACGGTACATATATACAAATGTAACATTTTTTACATTTTTTGCCTGTCTGTCTGTTACGGTTAATGTCTGAAACGGCTGGGCCGGTTTTGACGGGACTTTCATTGGCAGATAGCTGATGTAATAAGGAGTAGCTTAGGCTACTTTTATTTTAGATATTTCCGCCTCGGCTAGTCTAAAACATATTTTCTATTCTAATATTTTTTCGCATTATTATGGCTGGTGAAATTTCAGGCCGGAGACGCAGGTGCGCGCCATAGTAATGACAGACGGCGAAAGAATTTTGGGTCTGGGAGACCTGGGCGCTTACGGAATGGGTATTCCCGTTGGCAAGCTCGCTCTTTACACGGCATTGGGTGGTATAAGGCCTCACGAGTGTTTGCCTATCACATTGGACGTTGGCACCAATAATCAGGTAAAATTTCATCTATACAATAGTTCTATTACAACATGTATAAAGATGTAATAATCAGCTTTAAAACTGTACTAGTCTTAAAGCTGATTTTCTGAAAAATGATAAAAAATATAAGTTATCCATGGCGAAATTCGAAAAGCCGAGTACACTCTTGTCGTTGAGGGCTGACGAGGCGTACGGTCACAAGATGGGAGTAAGTGATCCTGTGAAATGTTGCAAACAACACATTGAAACCGAAAATCTGATGTAAATAATAGAAAAAACATCCTGAATCGACATGGGCTTTAAAGATTACGCTGGCCGTTGGGCTAATTAATTTTTAAATGGACATCTTGGTTCCAAGCGGCGTGGGTCAATCAATTCGTTCGGTGAATTTGATTATCATTTACATATTAATTTTACATAATGCTTCTTCCTTGATTTTACCTACGTACACATCGTCATCCTTCTGCTTTTATGTCTGCCTGATGTCTTTTATATTTTACAAAGACCCAGATCCGTAAAAAGTATGTGTTCTTTACACATTAAATTGATGATATGATGACTCCGTGGGTTCGACTCTCACACGGGACGACTATTTGTGCGACCCACAGATAATTGTTTCGCATATGGGTGTTTGTCCACGTGAAATTTATGTTTGTAAAACGTCCTTGCAACAGGATAGTGTTACCCTAAAGTAAGGGCAAAAATGTAGAAATGTAAATTGATTTAACACATGGGACAAGTATTTACTTGTCCCGTGTGTTAAATCAATTTAATAAATGCCCGTGCTCTAATATTTTAAAAGGAAACAAATATTATGTGACTTCCGCAGAGTCTTCTCGAAGATCCGCTATACATAGGTTTAAGGCAAAAGCGAGTGCGCGGCAAGGAGTACGATGATTTCATCGATGAGTTCATGGAGGCATGTGTCATGAAATATGGTCGCAGCACTTTGTTACAGGTAATGTTACGAAATATTTGCTACACATTACGGTAGAAAGTATTCGAAATTTGGGAAATTTATATTTATTAAAACCAGCATTCACGAAGGTCTGGCAACTTCTTGATCTAAAGCTGAGTGTAGAGTGTTTCTTTATCGCTGTTTCTGTGGCCATAGAACAAAAAAAGATTTTTTATATTATTTTCGAAAGAATTTCGTCGTGGTACTAACGCATTACAGACTCCACGCAATAAGTGAATATTGTATGGACAAGTATCGCAAGCGAACGCACGCCTTTTTTTGGTTTAAGTTAAAGTTCTTTCGATTCTGGAAATTTTCTCAATAAGCTCGTGGGCCCCGGGGACGAGATTCTGAATCGAGTATTTCTTTGATAAAAACATGAGCTTGAGCTTTCCGAAATAAAACTGCTATCTCTCAGCTAAGTTCCTATTGCCAACCGATTGGCATAGTGGACAGCGGACCTGTCTCCTGCCCCAGAGGGTGTGGGTTTGATCCCACTATTGCAAACTAATGAAAAACATTGTGTGATCAACATGGTGTTTTTCTAGTGTCTGAGTGCATTATATATCTATAATAAAGTACGTTTAAGTATGTTTATTAGATATCTAGTACCCATAGCTTTGCTTAGTATGGGACTAGATAACGCTCATTACGAAACGGTGGTAGATTTAAAAAATGACTATACATAGATGAAATGTTTTTACTTCTATGAATAAATGATTTTGATTTTGATTTGCTGTGTAAATGTCATGAAATAGTATTTTTTTTAAAGTGATAACTGCCGCCCATAGATATTTGCAACACCCGTAGGGTTGCAGATGCTTTGTCATCTCTTAATAAAGCGGGCCCCAGCTACCTCACTCACTAGACGTTACGCAGAAGTATGACACTTCCACACGCCGGTCTCCTGTGAGGTCGTAGTACGTACGTTCGTGCCACAGAGGAGACTGTTGCGTAGCCCTACCACAGTAGTATTTGTTTATAATTGGCCAATGAGTTCAGTTATGACGGGACACCTTCTTTTCAGTTCGAGGACTTCGCTTTAATAAACGCGACGCGGCTGCTGGCCAAATATCGCGAGCACTACTGCACGTTTAACGATGACATCCAGGGCACGGCCAGCGTCGCCGTCGCCGGTCTATTGGCCGCGATCAGGATTACCAAGAAGCGGATCAGCGAGAACGTTATCATGTTTCTAGGCGCCGGCTCGGTTAGTTCTTTTCTTTTCATTTTTGGTATTAAGCGGTCAGTGGCCTTTGTAGAGATTTCGGACTGATACATGATTTCGGCAGCGGACACGAACAGGCTGAAATTATGATGATTGCACTTAAAAAAAAATTACAGATTTCTCTATTTGATTGCTGTTAACGTAACAGGTCACTTAAATAATATCCAAAGTGGCCTTTGAAAAGACTTTGAGATGTTAGGTTTATTTTCTTTAACTAAAAACTGATGATTTTACTCTAACTCAGCGGTTGTATGTTTGTATGGTCTTTTTTGAACGTATGAAGTGCATGCGCATGTAAGCGATAATACAACCGCAGCACGAGATGTGTGCACCCACACAAATTTGGCAACTTTAGCCAAATTTGTGTGGGTGGAAATTGGCTTAATCATCTGGGTGGTCTTGATCGACTTAATTATTACTTACAAAGTATTGGCGACTTGAAACATCTACTGATCGCTACGATCATCAGTTGTTGACCATCAGCAATGATCTGTAAAGGCCTACCAAGGATATGGGCTCCCATGGATAACAGGAGTTGATCCAGCCAAAATAAATCAGCAGTAATTTACAGTTGTATATTTGTTTGATATAAATCGATTACGCACATCACTATGAATTCGCCCCCTAAGCCCAACGACTGCCAGCGAAACAGATTAATACATAACATTTATTCCCTCCACTTACTCGGATGCTGATAGATGATAAGAGCTGTACTATAGTGCTTGAGCACTATCTCACTTGCTAGTAAATGACTACACTATTTCATAAAGCCTCTTATTGTATATAACATTCTTTATCTTTGTAACTTCGTAGGGTTGTGTCTGTTTGGTTCCCTGTTTTTCGGCTAAGACGGTTCCGACGCCCGCGGAAGTATTACTTTTCTACCAAGATTAATTTACGTTTAGGGCCAACACTATATAGAGACTTCAAATAATGTAGGTTTTAATTATTATCATTATATTGCGCAAAGACGTACATCTGAATTACTTATTCAATCTGAATTTCATATGTAGTTGCATGCGGGTTTTGAGTAATTAGTAATAATTTTCCTGTTATATAGTATAGACTATCTATTCTATAAGATAGCATGATGATATATCGATGATGAAAATCGTTCTGGAGACTCAGCCCCACTTTTTTTAAAAGTTAGCAACGCACTTTTGTGTCAGTGACAGCATCAATTAGCATCGGGTAAACCTCCAGCTAAATTACAACTTCTTGACATAAAAACGTGTCATGTGCGTGTACTTTGTGTGCACGTAAGAAGTAGGAAATAAAAATAACTCCAAAACTTGCAACGATTTGCCACGAAAATTCGGCTATCATTTGGTATTCCCCCTATCTGAGACATATATTTGGCCCAGTACCGAATATAATATATACTAATTTTTATAATATATATTAAATTTTTTAAACGCAAATGTTAATTTATTTTATAAAAATTATATTTTTTTCTATTAGTCATAAACGTAACTGCTCTTTTACTTAGAACTTAAGGAATTTTACTTTTAAACTAATCAAAATGTAGATAGTACGATAAAATTCTCTTTCATATTTACTATGTTTACTAATTAAATAAAACACGCAGTACACCGTGGACGGTTTTACTATGATACAGACACGCAACTTTGAAACTGCCACCTGCTCACATAAAGTAAAATAAGAAATAAGGTATGTGAGTACCTACATTTCTAAAGAATCACGTCGATCCAGGTTTTCCCGCCACGTGCTGGTTGAATATTTTTGCATAATATTCGGCTATTCGCCTATGCAGCCCGCCAAATATACGGAATACCATTCGTTGCAAGTCTAGTTCTGACGCGCATTATTGATATTTGACAACATTACGGGAGATTCATCGACTAATCATGTCGCTATCGCGTGTCAAAACTCTATATTTTGTACTACTTCCGTAGTTACACTTCTTTTTCCTTAATTTTATAAAAAGGGTTATTATAATACAAATGAATACATTAATGACAATAACCCCTGGGATTGATCGCTCCCAAGCTATTTCTAAAAGGAAAGAAAAATCAGTTATATATTTTAATATTTTTTAAGAAAAAAAATGAATTACAAAAAAGAGGATACCTAGGGAGTTTCTTTCGCCTGTTTCTTCTCCGCTAGAGGAACCTCATTACGAAACGGTGGTAGATTTAAAAAAAATATGACTATCGATAGATGAAATGTAAGTTTCTTATGTCGATGAATAAATGATTTTGATTTTTGATTTTGATTATTTTTGGCGCATTAACCAAAAGAAGTATCTATAACATGGAAATGATGAAATATTATATAGATAAAATCGACTAAATCTTTATTCATAGGCATCGACTGGTATCGGTAGCCTGATAGTGTCGGCAATGGTTTTGGAGGGGATTTCGGAGGAGGAGGGCCGCAAGAAAATATTGATGTTCGACATCGACGGCCTGCTTACGACCCGTCGCGACGGCGGTGTGCCTGCCCACGCGAAGGATTTCGGCAGGGATTTACCGCCCGAGAAGAACTTCCAGAAGTGCGTGGAACAGTACAAGCCCACCTGCCTCATCGGTACGTACGCGAAAAAAATGAAACAGTCTATAGATCTTTTTATTTTGCGTTGGTAGGCCCCGGCTACTCCACTCACCAGACGAAACGCAGAAGTGTCTGAACACTTCTACTTCACGCCTGTCTTCTGTGAGGTCGTAGTACTTACCCGGACGGACCTGCATATTCGTGCAACAGCGAACACTGTTGCGTGGCTCTACCACAGGTCCAACTGCTGAGCAAATGCCGTGGTATATATAGTACAAGCCTATCTGTCATATACTCGTAGGTACGTACGTAAAAAATCAAGAGCAAGAAAAGTAACAGCATATATATGTCCCGCTGCTGGGAAAAGGCCTCCTTCGTATTAACAGTACTGTGCGAATATTCTCAAAAGTAATATAAACGTTATTTAAAAAAGTCATCAAGATTGAACGCATATGTAGAGCGAGGATTGTTGTACTGTGAAAGATAATTGAAGGTAGTTTTGCTTATGAAGTTGGAAAGCAAAGAGTATATAGAATATGTAGTATTTCAATTTTACGAGGTTTTTGTTCTGCCACTCAGGGTGTTCGACTGTTGGTGGTGCCTTCACGCCTGCCATTTTGAAGCAAATGGCGCAGAACACTGAGATCCCGATCATTTTCGCACTTTCGAATCCCACAAGCAACGCTGAGTGCACCGCTCAGCAGGCGTACGATAATACGAACGTGTGTTTGCCCATTTGCCTTATTTTTGCATAAAAAAACACAAACTTACGCTTGGACTTAATTGTTACTAAAACCTGATGATGAAGATTACTATCCATATATGTATATTGTTGGGATTGTATTCGTCTAGTTTGAGATCTAGGAAATTCCCGATCAGGAACCAGTAAATATACACACACACACACACTACTATCTATAAGTCGAGTGTTTATCATATAAAAAAAAAAACACTTAATATACGAGGGTTGATAAATGATAATGCGACCTACCTGGTGGTAAAATATTATCATTATACATAGACAAAATACCAGTTGAATCAGGCAAATAGAATTTGGTCTGAAGCACTGGTTGGACTTGTCAATTGTAAATGATTAAGCTTATCTTTACTTGGTTAAATGAGACTATTTTCTTGTCTCATTTCGATTTTAATTTCCCTGTCGTTTCGAACCCTTTCTAGCGTTCATGGTCACAGGACACTAAGTTATTTACTTCCTAATGTCAGAGTTCACCCGGGGTACCGTCCATTATTAATAAATTAAATCCCGAAAATGAAAACTAATTTCCCAACCCACGTATACACACAACTGTGACATGGGGCTTCGTCACCAAGCTCTAGTTACTCCCTCTTGATTCAAGTTAAGTCGTAAAAATCATTTAACTGTAGTTGCATTAATGTAGCAGTGACACACAATTGTATAAAGGACGCTTGTCGTCAACCCTACTTAGTGAGAAACACCTAGAACAATTACCTGTGGGTCACACAAATACTTGTCCTGAATGGGAATCGAGCCTATATCCCCCGACACCGAAGCTAATGGCTTAGCAACTAAGTCACCGAGTAAAAGTAAAGTAAACAGCCTATATGTATATGTCCTAATGCTGACCAAAGGATCCTTTACAGAAACCGCAATGCGAACTGGCTTATTTCAAATATCTTCGAAAAATTTGCGTATTATTATTATTTCGGAAATATGCAGGTTTCCTCACGATGTTTTCCTCAACCATGATGACGTGAATGGTCAGCACTTAAAATACAATTTCATTGGTGCCAGCATTAGGACTTGAACTCAGGTTACTAGAGTATACTGAATTAAAAGCGAGCACCTGGTCACCAAGCTTTGACGGCTTATAGCTTTCGAGTAGTCCTCACTTATATATAAAAGCGACATAATACTACAAGTGATATTACAAGTGGGTATTAACAATTACGTGTCCAGGGTAAGTGTGTATTTGTCTCCGGCTCGCCTTTTCCGCCGGTGAATTATCAAGGCAAGGAGTACCGTACGGGGCAAGGGAACAACTCTTACATATTCCCCGGAGTAGCACTAGGAGTCATAGCGGTCAAAGCTTACAAGATACCAGACTCGATGTTTCTAACAGCGGCACAGGTTGGTTGTAGATCTAAAAAGCTACATTTTGTTGTATATTACACCGTTGCATATTACACTTTTTTATTTTTTATATCTTGCTATCGTCACCCGTAGGGTTGCATATGTAATGCCACTTACCGCTAGTGTAGAAGTGTAGCTCTCTGCGAGTAGTGTAGTGTAGTGTAGCTCTGATATCTTGCTGTCGTCATCCGTAGGGTTGCATATGCAATGTCACTTACCGCTAGTCAGTGGCCGATTTGCTCTAGGGCCCAATAGGTCCGGGGCTAGGGCTGCCACATATTAGGGACGGCCAATCGTCACAAAAAATTTACTGATGATAACAAGATATATATGATGGGCGCTGAGAAATGGGCGGCTGGAACTTGCTACATGATCTGGGGCCTAGGGCGGCCAAGACTACAAATCCACCACCACCGCTATTTTATAAGTGTAGCTCTTTGCGTGTAGTGTAGTGTAGTTCTTGTTGAAGTACTTGTACTGCCTTATGTACACAAATGTAGCACCGCGGTGACTAACGAGATAGTTCATGTCTTTATTATTCACTAAGCGTTAGGCGATTAAATAATCGACGGCCACTACTAAACGTGCAACTTGGAATCGTTATAAAGGCACCATAAATGTCGTTAATAGTGGCGGGAGTAGTAAAAGTTCCACGGTGCAGCCTGTTCTTGCGGTGAAAGCCTTGCTGTGAGAAATATAAAAATAAAGACATCAAAATCTTTAATAGTGGAGTTTTATTATACTTGTTTCTACAGCTGCTAAATTCATAAAACTATCTGTTTCTGTTTCTCGTTAATTAGTAATATTTATAGCCACCTTTTTATGTGACAAGGTGGCAAGTGATCAGGCGGTTCACCTGATATTAAGCAATAACCGTCGCCCATTGACATTTGCAATACCCGTAGGGTTGCAATGCGTTGTCACCTTTTAATATAGTAAGCTCCGTCTACCTCACTCACCAGACGAAACGCAGAACTATAACACTTGTATAACCATCTCACGCTGGTCTTCTGTGTGGTCGTGGTACTTACCCGGATAACAATATCAGCCGGCCAATATGGCCCAGATTACCGGGGGCACGGAGTGGCCCCCGCGATGAAGCCCGGGTCATGAGGTTTGTCCTCGACACCCGCACCTGCAGGCCCACTCAAGGGAATGTAGAAGATCCCCACGACTTACCCGGATGGCCCTGCGCATTCGTGCAACAGTGAGGATTATTGCGAGACCCTACCGCAGTGAAAACTGGTGATTTATTTGCGAAAGATTTAAAGTTTGACATAATTACAGACATTGGCAAATTTTGTGACGGAGGAGGACTTGGCTATCGGACGTGTATATCCGCCGTTGAATCAAATACGTGAAGTGTCAGTCGCCATTGCTGTTGCCGTAGCGAAGATGTCTTACAAGCAAAGTAAGTATGCTCTTGAAATATTAGTTTTTTATGTGCCGTACGAATGATCAAAGCCTAGCCACCACTGGATACTCTTAGAAATTTGCACAGAAGTGTGAAGATTTAATTGCATAACTATTTTTACTGCGGTTAGGAAGGCGATATTTGTATGTATGTATAATTCACTTCTTGACGTCCTTTAAATAAATGTGGGATAGACATATAACCTGATACATATCAACGATAATAAATACTAAATAAACATAACTTTAATTTGCCTTATATGTTATTAACGTAATGTGCTTATAACAAGCTTACTTTTACTATTTATACTTTCAAATTTTTAAAAATAATATATATTTTTTTGATTTTTAATAGAATTAGCATCTCGCTATCCGCAACCAAAAGATTTCGAATGCTTCGTAAAATCGCATGTGTTCGACTTGAACTATGAATGTAGTCTGCCGTCAAGTTATGAGTATCCTCCAGATGATTCTGATGGGAAAACCAAATCAATACAAGAAATGTATGGCACGGGAGAGTTAGTACAGTTATTTTTATACAAATTGTGGTAATGAAACATCATTACATTTCAATTAGATTGCCTCCGTCATGTATTTAGAAAATCCATCATTCAAATAATTGTAAAATGTGTAATTGTAAAAATAACCGCATTTTTTCGTATTTGTCTGAGGCATGATATTTTTGTTAATACTCCTGATTATTAAAACATGTAGAAAAAGTACGAAAAGATTGTCGCCGCTGTGGGAATCGAACCCAAGTCTTCGGCATTCGCGGCCTGACGCTCTAGCCACTGAGCTAAACGGCTGATAGCCACAGCGAAGAAAATCTTAATGCCTACTTTCTACATTGTTATTTAGCATTTGAAGCAATGCTTGGCGCATCTATTGTTATATCCTTTCGTCATACAACGTCAGGCCGCGAATGCCGAAGACGTGGGTTCGATTCCCACAGCGGCGACAATCTTTTCGTACTTTTCTACATGTTTTAATGTTCAATCTTAAGTGCAGAGATTAGCACTATAAAAAACTTTAAAATTTACTCCTGATTCATTATAAAAAAAGTTACATGGAACACTGTTAGTGAAAAGGCTATAAATTCCACAGGTCTGTCAGACCTTATGTGTCGAGGCGCGTGAGAATGGGTGCCGTGTCAGATTTTGCGCTCTGAATGACAGCTGTCGACATTTTAATAGTTTGATTCGCGTTGACGCGGTGTTTTACTGTGCGCATAGGCGAAAACGAACTATAGAGTGATGTGGGCAGAGCTCCTTCTTTTATGTGAAATGTTGCCAAGCAAGCAGGCGTTTAACCTGATATTAAGTGAATACCGCCGCCCATGGACATCTGCTACACTCGAGGGTTGCAGATGCGTTGACAACCTTTTGAAAATTGGGCTCCGGCTACCTCACTCACCAGACGAAACACGAAAGTATTATACATCCACTTCACGGCAGTCTTCTGTGAGGTCGTGGTACTTACCCGGACGAGTCTGCCCATTCGTGCAACAGCCGAGGCTGCTGCGTGGCCCTACCACAGTGAAAGCTCTCCAGTTGAAAAATTTAGTTTGAACCCTTACCGTTGAGATAAGCTCCTGAGATAAAATTTCAAGGCCCTTTGTAATCTTTGGTTTTATAGTATTTAACGCATAAATTATTCCTTTCGTAAATTTCTTCTTTATACATTTATACATTTACTTTCGCATTAATTTAATTTTTTTTCATGGACAACAGGGGCAAACGACCAGGCCATCTAATCACTTACCATCAGGCTCACCTGATGGTAAGTGATTACCACCGCCCATGAACATCTGCAACACCCGAGGGATCACAAATGCGTTGCCGGCCTTTTAGGAATTGAATTCTGTTTTCCATTTTTAATCCCATTTCAGCATCATTTTCTCTTTCATCATTTCAGCCCCAGCAAGGATGTTGATGACCCTAGAGTTCAATTTTAATAAGAACAGTCGTGACAATATTTGGTCAGTAAATAATGTTAAATATACAAATAATCGCATGAATGCATCGCATAATTTTAGTTTTTTTTTTATGTGAGAAGGTGGCAAACGAGCTAGCGGTTCACCTGATGTTAAGTGATAACCGCCGCCCATGGAGATTTGCAACACCCGTTGGGTTGCAGATGTATTGCCATTATTCAATAAAGTGGGCTCCGGCTACCTCACTCACCAGACGAAACGTAGAAACGTAACGCTTCTACTTCAGAGAACACATTCACAGAAGACCCGCGTGAAGCGGACTTGCCCATTCTTGCTACAGAGAAAACTATTACGTGACTCTACCATTAAAAAAAAATTTTAAGTTATTATTTGAATTCTACTTTTCATCAACTTTTTTCCTTTTTATTTAAAGGTGACCACAATTTTTGTAAATTTATTAGACGTATATGAAATTATGGATCTTCTTACATTATGTTATAATCTTGCGGTTATGAATTTGTTTTAAATTTGTTTTTTAAAGTTTTTTAGATTGTTTTAGACATACGTCTAATTTAATTACGTATATGAAATTATGGATCTTCTTACATTATGTTATAATCTTGCGGTTATGAATTTGTTTTAAATTTGTTTTTTAAAGTTTTTTAGATTGTTTTAGACATACGTTTTGGATTTTACTAATAGAATTGTCCTAAAATTTTTGCAAATATCAAATGCTTTTGCTAGTTCCTTTAGACAAAATGTTATTCGAATTACGTTTTTGTTTTCAGCGCAACTTCCTGTGACAATTAAATCAAGATTGTTTTGGGAACGTGTTTTTGGTTCGTTATATATATAATAATATTAAATGTTTTTGTTGTTTTTATCGTATATTTTTTTAAGATTTTAAATAATTATTTAATATTCAGTTTATTTTAAAATGTACTTTAGATTTACAATAAATTCCTTCGAACTGTTTTTATTTTTTCAATTAAATGTTTATTAATTTAATTTAAACAATTTAAAGCTTTACTGTCAAAGCCAAAATCAAAGTCAAAATGTTTCTATTTAATATAGGATTTTTTAAGCTCGTATTGAACGTCAAAAAGTTACCACCGATTCACTAAACTAAATCTGTCTAGCGAAGAACCGCCCGAAGAAACTCTGCGGTCTTATAATTTTTTTAATTATATAAATGCCATTAAAACATAAAACATGTAGAAAAAGTACGAAAAGATTGTCGCCGCTGCTTCAATGCTAAATAACAATGTGGAAAGAAGGCGTTAAGATTTTCGGCATCAGCCGTTTAGCTCAGTGGCTAGCGCGTCAGGCCGCGAATGCCGATGACGTGGGTTCGATTCCCACAGCGGCGACAATCTTTTCGTACTTTTTCTACATGTTTTAATGTTCAATCTTAAGTGCAGAGATTAGCACTATAAAAAACTTTAAAATTTATAAAAAGCAATGGTGACATTCCTCGTTCGAATTATCGTTGTAAAACTATATTCGAAATTGTTTATATGCTGGAAAGGATATAACAATAGATGCGCCAAGCATTGCTTCAATGCTAAATAACAATGTAGAAAGAAGACGTTAAGATTTTCGTCGCTGTGGGTATCAGCCGTTTAGCTCAGTGGCTAGAGCATCAGGCCGCGAATGCCGAATATGTGGGTTCGATTCCCATTACAGCGGCGACAATCTTTTCTTACTTTTTCTACATGTTTTAATGTTCAATCTTAAGTGCAGAGATTAGCACTATTAAAACCTTTAAAATTTATATAAATGCCAGTTAATTCATATTCCTTGATACTTCCTTCCGATTCTGAGTAAACAAATGGTGATTTTTACTTTGATACACTTATATTTGCTGAAGCTTATGCATACTTTGCAGCAGCTATCCGTTCGAAAGAAATTTAAGTCGTCCGACAGGTATTAAGGCGCTTTAAAATTAGCTGCTTTTATTGTGCAAATTTTAAGACAGGTAAATGTTTGCTATCATGCCAAGAAATCTGTTCTTTGCTGTTTTATGCCACCGTATCCAAACTTCGTTTCTAGTTCTATCAAAGTTAGTCTTCTCAAAATATAAAGGTACAAAATACAAGTATATCCGTTTGATTGCAATTAAAAGTTCATTAAATGCTTATAGTTTTTGTAAAATGAGTAAAAGCGAAAACGAAATTAATTAATTTTAATTTTTTTAATTTTATGGAAAAAGGGAGCAAACGGGCTCACCTGACGTTATGTGATCAGCCGCCCATGAACACCTGTAATACCGGAGGTCTTGCAAATGCGTTGCAGGCCATTCAGGAAAGGATATGCTCTCTTCTTGAAGGTTTTCACGTAGTAAAGGTTCGAAAAGACCGCCGACGGCAGCTGGTTACACAGTAATTGTGGGAGGTAGGAAATGAGTTGATATCGCGCTGTTGTGGAACGCTGGACATTGAGTTGGAAATGTCTGGTTTTGGTGCGATGTGCGATGGTGAAATTAAGCAGTCGGGATTAATCCAAATAATTCCTCGGGACACTCCCCGTGATAAATGCGGTCAAATGGAAGAAGCTCGTAATGGGGAGAGCCCAGAGATGAAGGAAGGCAACAGAAAAAGTTTTTGGCTTGAATAGTATTTTGGACAAGGTGGCGTCTAGTTTGACAAGGATCTACTCATGGTTTATTATCCCAACTGTATCGTCAAATAATAATTCCTAGTACGGAAAGCATCTTAAGGTAAACTAGATGGAAAATTATTATTATATATTTTGCATTCAAAGTCTATCAAAAAAGGCATAGGCATCAGGTGCATTTGGAATGTTTTTACGGAATTAGCTGTATTAGTATAATAAAAATAGGATAGGATCTTATGACTTTTACTTTAAACGGGGTAGGCAGAGAAAGCTAACGCCCTTCACGTTTTATCAAGCTTATAAGACCTGGAGGGAGAGGTCGCTGAGCGACCGAGGAATATCTCGTGCGATAAAGATAGTCGTGCGACTTAAATCCATGTTAATTAATTTCAACTTACAAATACCACGACATGCAAATAACCTTCAGTTCGAAAACATGAACGAAATAAAAGAATTAAAACGAAAAATCATTCTTCTCTCAATCGCGGCGCCA